ATGGTCCTCTTCATTAAAATTGCTTTCTTGCACACAGAACTTAGAAATCTAGCCTTAAAGTTGCTAATATTTAAATGCAGAAACTTGCTAATGTTCCCCCACTACGTCATCGCGTGACCACGCCCACCACCGGAAGTGATTTGACATAATGGCTGCAAGGCAACTTTTGACCCAAGATTTAGTATAGAAGTTGTACTTTTTAATAATTTTAGCTATTTTTCCTATGATTCTTTCTTTATTACCAACTTATTTCAGGGAAAAAAAATTTGGGGTGTAGTTACCCTTTAAGCTTTACTCAAATATCAACATGCATTTTTATAATTATATTATTGTGATAATACAAATATTTCCAATGACTTTGAATCACTGCAAAACAACCTATGTCACTGGATTCACCATTCTTGAGTAGGTGGGTATTAAGCAGTTGGGTTGTTGTACTAGTGCTGGCTTGTACCACCTGCCATATTGAATTGAAATCGTGTGGTCAGTAATAAAGGGTCTATGGTCAGGAATTATTGACCCATTATGCTCCCATTATGCCAACTTGCCAAATGCCAACTCCCAACTTGCCCTATTATGCTCCAAATTATGCTAGCATAATTTGCCTAGCCCTAGATGCTACGGATCATATAAGAGCATAGATATTACATGCATGTACTATGTAATGTATTATCTATGGATCAAGCGAAATAAATAACCACGCCCATAAGCATGGCTGACGTTGTGGCTTGGGTTGGAGACCAATTGTACGAAATCCTCGGCCTCTCTGACCGCTACACAGCTGAATTTCTAGTAGGACTTGCAAAGAAGTCTTCCTCTTTAGATGGCTTTGTTAGTCAGCTTGAAAGTACTGGTGCACTGACGATAGACCATAAAACCAGAGAGTTTGCTTCAGAGCTATGGGCTAGAGTCCCACACAAGGCAGTGGTGGAGAAGCCAGCCAGAGCCAAAGAGAGAGAGGCAAAACTTCAGACCCAAAGGAACAAAAGCTACCAGATATTGTATGACTCTGGCGATGAGGAAGAGGAAGCCATTATGAAAAAAAGACGATCGTCACTGTCGAGTGGAAAAGGTATTATTATTATTATTATTATTATTATTATTAGCCCAAGTTTTTTTCCAAAAAATGGTTATGAAATCACCCCCAATTTTATTACATTTTTTGATACGATTGATGTCCATATGCTATGTAGAAAGTGTGAGCTGATTCTGACTTGAATTTTTGTTATGGCCATTTTAAAAAAACAGTCAATTTCTGAAAAATTCCCTGTACTATATAGCCCATGGTTTTTTCCAAAAAATGGCTCTGAAATCACCCTCAATTTTTATTATATTTTCTGATACATATTGATGTCCTTATGTTATGTAGAAAGTTTGAGCTGATTCCAACTTAAATTTTTAAAGTTATGGCCATTTTAAAAAAACAGTCAATTTCTGAAAAAATACCCTGTACTATAGCCCATGGTTTTTTCCAAAAAATGGCTCTGAAATCACCCCCAATTTTTATTACATTTTCTGATACATATTGATCTTCTTATGCTATGTAGAAAGTTTGAGCTGATTCCAACTTAAATTTTTAATGTTATGGCCATTTTAAAAACGGTCAATTTCTGAAAAATACCCTGTACTATAAATAGCCCACCAATAAATGGCTCCAAAATCACCCCCAATTTTTTATTACATTTTCTGATGCATATTGATGTACTTATGCTATGTAGAAAATTTGAGCTGATTCTGACAAATAAAATACACTGTATTATACATGGGTATACTGTCTTTGGCCAAGTATTTGAGCAACTCTAAAAATTCATAAAAGTGTACATCAAAGCATCAATGTATAGGAATAAAGAACAGTAAAAGAAATATACGAAAAGATAAGAGCAGTCAGTGGGAGAGTGACAGTAGTAGTAGCGAGGAGGAGAAAGAGATGAAGGCAAAGAGAGTAAGAGTCGAAGAGCCCAAGGAGGAGGAGGAGGATGAATGGGATGCAATGGAGAAGGAGAGGGAGAAGGATTTGCTGGAGAGAGATGCTTTGAACGAGAGAATAAAGAAAAAGGATAAAGAGAAGACTAGGAAAATTGTCGAAAAATCGGATAAAAAAGTATTATCATTAATTGTCACTTTCTCCTTCATCTCTTTCTTCTTATTTTCCAGGGTTATGAAGAAGCAAGGAAACGACTACAGGTTGCTGAAAAAGACCAAAAGAAACTGGTCAGTTGAACTAATATTCTACTAACCTGCTAATTGTTATTTTGTAGATTCCTGAGTTGCGTAAAAAGTCTCGCATACGGTACCTTGGTGATCGTGCTCAAGACAAACTTGCAGAGCTGGATGCTGATATCATTGACAATGAATATCTGTTCTCTGATACCAAGTAAGTATAGTCAGTCATCGTTAACAGTACTTGCACTATTAATCTATTTTAATATTCCTGTATTATCTTACATTACTTTGTAGATTGACTAAGAGGGAAGAAGCTGAGCATCTACGGAAAAAGAAATTAAAGGAGCTTGCTGATGAGCATAGAAATGTTAGTAGCTTCTTGTTTATTATATTATATTAATGTTTTTATGCAGGCAAAGGACATGGAGAAGATTGAACGGTATCATATTCCTTCTGAGAAAGAAGTAAGCACCACTTCATAAGTACTTGTATGTTTCGGCTTTCTTTTTCTCTCCAGAAACCATCAGCTAGGTATGAAGAGCCTCGGAAAGAGGAATTGGTAAATAATATTTCTGTTTTATGTATTGCATCCTTTCTCATAGTTGGGGCCCAATGCAGATTTGAGAAAATGGGAGGACGAGCAGTTGGGCATAGCCCTGGTTAGGTTCGGTGCCAAAGATGCAAAAGAGAAAAACAAGGTTTTTAAGAATGGATGTCCGTGTATTGTGCTATTTTATTTATTTTTTTTCTATCAGCAAAAAGAGTATGATCTAGTCATGGATGATGAGGTAGCATTTGTCTTGGCTGAAACTGTAGCTGGCAGTAAAGGAGAGAATGAAGTATGTGGCTCAAGAGACGATGAAAGTATTTTTCTTTTGTACCTGCTTCTAGGAAGAAATGCCTGAAGGACCAAGTGTGGAAGAAAGAAGAAAGATGAATCTTGAAGAAGTATGAATTTCTCTTTGTCATGACTTATTATTATTATACCTAATAGACTAGGAGGAGTTTGCCTATCTTTCCTTATCGTGAGCCATTACTAGAAGCTGTTGAAAATCATCAAGTAACAGCATGAAAGGTTTTACTTGATTTTGTACTTGTATTTTGCTATAGATATTGATTATTGAAGGTGAAACTGGCTCTGGAAAGACCACACAGATACCTCAATACCTTTATGAAGCTGTAAGCTTCTTATAATTACAATATCTATCTTTAAAGGCCTCCATACACTAGGCAACATGTTGCTAGCAACATTTGTGGTTACTTCGATCTTGTAAGCAACATGTTGCCAGAAATAGAACAGCCTTCTATTTCTGGCAACATGTTGCTTACAAGATCAAGTAACCACAAATGTTGCAAGCAAAATGTTGCCCAGTGTATGGAGGCCTTTAGTCACTCCTCCTCCTTTAGGGCTATTGCTCTAACAAGATGAAGATTGGTTGCACACAGCCTCGTAGAGTTGCTGCCATGAGTGTTGCTGCTCGTGTCTCAGCTGAAATGGGAGTGAAGCTAGGAAATGAGGTACCACTACCTCTATATTGCTTATCAATATGTACATGCTCATAATAGGTTGGATATAGCATAAGGTTTGAGGACTGTACTTCAGAGAGAACTGTTATAAAAGTAAGAGGATATTACTCACTCCCCTCTCTCTCTCTTTATCTCTCTCATTCCTAGTATATGACTGATGGGATGCTGTTGAGAGAATTCTTAGGTGAACCTGATTTAGAGTCATACAGGTTTACTATTATGATGATTATAAGACAACTATTCACCCATTCATTGTAGTGTAATGATAATAGACGAGGCTCATGAGAGGACACTGCACACTGATGTATTGTTTGGTCTGGTGAAGGACATTGCTAGATTTAGACCTGATCTTAAGCTACTTGTATCCAGTGCAACCATGGACACTAAGAAATTCTCTGAAGTAAATTAATAAATTGTGGTTTTTTAGTAAGATTTTATTTCTTAGTTTTTTGACGATGCTCCGATATTTCGTATTCCAGGGCGTCGCTATCCAGTTGATCTTTACTATACAAAGGTGATATTATTATTAGCTGTTATGTACACATACATGTACTCTAAATTCATAAAATCCAAATTTGATTGGAATCAGCTCAAAGTTGATATACTACATAAGAACATGTATATATATATCAGAAAAAATTATAAGAAGGGAAAATTCTCTCCTAGCCATTTTTGACAAAATTTGGCCAAAATCCCTGTACTATAGTACAGGGCTGAATTTTGAGTAACTTGACCATCAGTCCACCTACAAGAAGCTGCATGAGCAATTGAGCACTATTCCAAAGTTTTGTGGGAAACCCTGTCTTGTGTAATAATTTTCTTCTTAGGCACCAGAGGCTGATTATCTTGATGCTGCCGTTGTGTCTGTTCTCCAGATTCACCTCACTCAACCCAGAGGGGATATACTGGTATGATAGGCTATTACATAACTGGTTTGACTGGTTTCTGATACAGGTATTTCTTACAGGTCAGGAAGAGATTGAGACAACATACGAAATGTTAAAAGTAAGTTACTAATTGTTCATATTATCCTATCTCTCTTCTCTATCAAGGAAAGAACAGCTAAGTTAGGGTCACGGATTGGAGAACTCGTCATACTTCCAATATATGCCAATCTTCCGTCTGATATGCAGGCTAAGATATTTGAGCCAACTCCACCTGGAGCTAGGAAGGTATTAAATTAGTGTCTTTATATTTTATCCCAATCTCTGCATTCTCTTCCTCCCTACATTAAAGGTTGTTCTTGCTACTAATATTGCAGAGACCTCACTGACTATTGATGGGATTATATTTGTGATTGATCCAGGATTCTGTAAACAAAAGTCGTATAATCCAAGGACTGGCATGGAATCATTAGTGGTCGTTCCTTGCTCAAAGGTAATTACATTTGCATGGTATTTTATTCTACATGATGTATGTGTATTGTGTATTTACAAAATGCTTAATTGTTTACAGATATGTTGGTGTCTTTATAATAGATGCTACATTGTAATGCAATCCCTAACATAATACTCAGTTATGTTTTTATAATAATGAAGTATAGTAAATGTGAGCAGACCTACTTGAGACAGGTGTTCTATACTGTGCATGCTCATTAAACTTCAATATGGCTACCTTTGCTTGAGTAAAGTTATTTCAGATGGCTACCTTTGCTCAAGTATACTTTATATTGCATATGAACTGGTTGCATGGTAGACTGGTAGTGCTCTATGGTAGCTAGCTTCCGTTTTGGTGTTACTGGTTGGATAGCAGCCCTTGGCTTTGGGTCTGCTACCACCCCAGTCTATTATATTACATAAATGTTCCCCTGAATTGAGGATACCTTTATATTGTGGTTCAGAATGAAATTTTATTTATTTCCTTTATCTTAGTTCAAGGTATCCTAACTACCATATAGTCTATTTCAGAATTTTGCTTTGCAATTTAAATAAACCACACATAGACCAACTAGAAATTAAACTTTTTATACTATAGTCTAACTAACTTAAGTAACTATACACTCAAATTGCTCATCAGTATTCTTTTCATTTGATGTATAACTCATAAAAGGTCACAGGAGTATCTTCATTGCTCGTTCCTTCATCTCCACACACCCTCAGCTCAAGGTAGTCAGTAGTGGTAGTGTTTAGTATCTTATTGAACCATGGAAGACCAGGAGCTGCACAACAAACACCTTCTGAGCCACCACATCCTTTACCATCCCATAATGGATCAGATGTATAGAGTATGCTTCGAAAACTTCTGTCAGCATCAGAATTACCAGATTCACAGAAGTAGTCATTGCCAATGAAAGACTGAAGAGTTGAGTTTTGAGGACTATCTTGAGAACAAGGACAATTGTTGCTCCCATGATTGTTACCAGCATAGATACTAGCTTCAAGTAGTCCAGCCATTAGTGTCCAGACATGTTGACGAGGAGACCCATGAGTGATACTAACACCATCAACATAATAAGAATTAATGTCATCATGACTTCCTCGGTCAGGATTAACAGCATCAGGCGATCCCCACTGATATCCCACTACTCTACCACACACTTGAGAGTAACTGATACCATTAGATGGAAACTGAACTGATGTACAACTGCCTCCACTTGATGTTGCTCTACCACAAACTCTAACTCCTCCTGACTGGTACAGTCTAAACCCAGGAGGACAGTTTTGTGTAGAGTCAGTCATGTTCAGATATGCAATTCTTTTCCATGCTCCCGAACCACATAGTTCCTCCATATTACAGTATGCCCTTTTCCCTCCAATAGTGTAGTATCCTGAAGCACTATCAGGCCATCTCTTCTTTATTTCCTCACAAGTGGTTGCAGGAAATGGTTGACAGAGACCTGGTTGTGACTGCTGACTATTAGCTAATAAAGCATCAGCAATTTCATGAAGAGACTGAGCTAGTGAAGCAGTAATGGTATCCTTTGCCGCCTTATTTACATTACATTCACACTGACAATGAACAGTAGCAACCAAAAACACTATTGAGAAATATAAAATCATCTTATTCTAATAGTTATGGGTAATGCAATGAATAAATACTCTGAGAGCTAGCTCATTTTATATATCCCTGAGATGTGCAAAATGCAATAGTACTGAGAAATAAAATAATCAAAGCAGTTTAAATAAACATCTATTATGAGTTTAGAGAAAGTGAGTAAGCACCTATTGTCATTGTTACTCTAGTCTATAGCTTAAATAAACATCTATTTACATTATAATAGCTTGAATTTCTCAAGAAAATGAGTTCAAACCATTGCTAAGCGTAATTATATATTTGAAAATGGGTACCAATTTATTTATACTAATATGTATTTCAGTATTCAAATGTGTAGGCATCTTCTAATCAGAGAGCAGGGAGGGCTGGAAGAGTTGCTGCTGGAAAGTGTTTCCGTCTCTTTACCTCCTGGGCTTATCACAATGAAATGGAAGACACCACAATACCAGAAGTAAGAAGGAATGGATAATATAGTTTAATATCAATACTACTATTTCTAGATCCAGCGTACTAATCTTGGTAATGTTGTTCTCTTACTAAAGAGCCTTGGTATTAATGATCTGATTAATTTTGACTTCATGGATCCACCTCCTCCCGAAACCTTAATGCTAGCATTAGAGCAGTTATATGCACTAGGGGCACTCAATCATATGGGGGAACTCACTAAAGTTAGTATAATCATTAATGACTATATGCTTTCTAGCAGTTATTTATTTTATTTTTTTATTTTAGCTTGGTCGTAGAATGGCTGAGTTCCCTGTTGATCCTGCTATGTCAAAGATGCTCATAGTTTCAGAAAAGTAAGCATAGGATTGGCTATAATTATTATAAGGGATAACATTGTGTCCCTTTTTATTATAGGTATGGTTGTAGCGAAGAAATACTAACCATTACAGCTATGCTGTCTGTCAACAATGCAATATTCTATAGACCAAAGGTTTCTATTCTATTGGTACATGTAGTAGCATTGAATCTGCTTCATAGGATCGTGTAGTACATGCTGATACAGCAAGACAAAGTTTTTTTAGACCCGGGGGAGATCACTTGACATTGCTAGCAGTTTATAATGATGTAAGTAACATTGAAAAAAATTGAGGATTGATTTTTCTTTATTATAGTGGGTATCTACAGACTACTCGACACAATGGTGCTTTGATAATTTCATTCAGCACAGGTAATAAAGATGTTCTTTTCTCTCTTGTGTCCTATCCTTCTCTAGATCAATGAAACGTGCTAGAGATGTGCGTGATCAACTAGAAGGACTCATGGAAAGAGTTGAGATTGATCTAGCTAGTAGTGAGGATGTTGTTGCCATTAGGAAGGCAATAACTGCTGGGTACTTTTATCATGCTGCCCGTCTGTCTAAAGGAGGCTATAGAACGGCAAAGCATCAACAAGTGGTTCACATTCACCCAAACAGTAGTTTGTTTGAGGACCAGCCAAGATGGGTCATATATTTTGAGCTAGTGTTTACCAGTAAAGAGTACATGAGACAGGTAAGGGAAAGAATCAAGGATTATTAGGGCCAATTGTAATCATTATTATTTTCTATTGGTGTAGGTGATAGAGATTGATAATCAGTGGCTATTAGAAGTAGCCCCTCACTATTATAAAGCAAAGGACATACAAGATGAGAATAGGAAGATGCCAAAGGGAGCAGGAGCATCACGGGACGACACTAGATTCGACAATCAGTTTTAAGAATAACAAAATTAATAATGCATAACATACATCATACATACATAAAATGTATAATATAATTTATAAATGTTCATACATGTAGTTATTTCTCCTGTTTTTTTGCAAACTTTTGATTCAAAGGTTTGCCCAATAGTTAAGATGCCCACCTGTTATCGAGTGACATTCGTCTCACTCGAAGTACGTGAGAGTCAAAGCTTGCAGAGAGTGATTCCTCTTGGTATTTTGATGCAAGAGAATGCTCTGTTTGTGCCACTGATGTCATCTTTGCCTGTGAAGCAGAGAGTTGCCTGTAGAAAAATAAAACAATTATTATAATGAAGAATCATGAAGGAAGAAGTACCTTTTCAGTTTGGCTCTTGCTTCCTTAACATGTTGACCCACAGGTTCATCACAATTAGCAGTGGCTGGCCTTAATCTTGACAGCGGCCTATCTTTCCTTTCTCCTACACTCCTATATCAAAAGAGCATTAGTTATGCATCAGTATTTTAAAAATTGTAAAGATTTTATTACTTGTGTACTTCTGAGATGGGACCAGAAACAAGGCCAATTGCAATTTCTGTATTGTGCATTTCCTGGCCAATTGAGTTCTGCTGTAATCTAATGTGTCCCTTCTCCATTGTAAGCTGACTCTGTCAACAGAATATGAATTTAATTTTAAATGCAACAGATACCTTATGCTTCTCTGCTTCCTTTACACTCTGAGTTAGCATACCATTGACTTTCTTGTGAGCATCATGTTGACGTGTGTGTACTGACATGACCAATCCTTTAATACCAGCCCTCATCTCTTTTGAGGACTGCAGCAAATCATGCAACTGAGTCAATAGCTGCTGAGGTATGAAACTGGTGTCAGAGGAAGGAGAAGAAGGCTTGGAGCATTTGGTTTCATAATGTCTGGGCTTGGTGCTTAATGGGCCAGTATCATCAATTGGTCCATTGTAGAGCTACATTACAGGGAAGGAGGGATATGAGAGTACTAATGAGTTCATTTTTACCTTAAAGCTTTGAGCATCTAGTTGTAAAGACTTAGAGAGTGAGGATATTTTGGACTTGATTGTCTTTCTCATGCTATCAAGTGAATGTAGCTGGTGTCTGATGCTCTGCAAGTAAGACTCGAGGTCTCTTTTACACTTTGAAAGTGTCCTTGTTTCTTCCCTAAATAATGCTATCATGCATTCCTACATACAAATTACAAGGATAAAGATTATGAAAGTAATGTTATATTATACTTACTTGTCCTACTCTTGCTTTCTTCTGCTGAGCACTCAGTGATTGCTGACTGACAGAGAGTGACTTACGTGCATCCTGAACAGCATATTCAAGCGTTCGTCTTCCTTTATTCATGAGCTTTATCTCGTCTTCAACTTTGAGCAAGTGCTTATGCAGTGTAGCCACTTGGTACTTGATGGTCCGTATGTAATTAAGGGAGTCACCGTTTGTTTGCATTCGCAGCTTCTCTGCGACTACTGATGCTTTGACTGCAGACGATCGTCTTTTAGAGGAAGGAGCAGTGGATGAAGACACTTGTTCCCTTTGCATCTGTCCAGTCTCTTCGTGGACTGTGAGTGGAGCTGTTGGTTTGTCCCTCCCATGATTGATAGTATCATCATCATTACTGGCTCTTCCTGTTTTTCCTGGGTATGGAGTCTTGGGAGGGAGGACAATGTGAGACGAAGGCCCATGCACTTGCTCTGGTGTAGAGAATTTTACAGATTTAGCTGAAGATGTCATGATCAGCCTTGCTTCAATGGCTGCTTGTAGTAGCTGATTAACACCTTTAATGTGACAATTAGTCAGTCTGGAATTATAAATTTAGTCTTTACCTCTCTTCCTTTAGATCTCAAACCACTCCTTGATTTCAAAAACTACAGTTGGCTAATATTCATTTGTAATTGTTAGCTGACCTGTTGTCATAGTAACTAGCCAGTCCCCCACGTGGCCATTTTTAGTGCAATGTCAATGTCTTTGCCTCGGTCTTTGCTATTTTACGGGATCAGGAGAGCTTTCTCCTGCACCGCTAGAGCATCAGCTCCTGTACATAACTTGACTGTTATAGGATCAGGGCTTATGGGAGCAGGAATCGCTCAGGTGAACCTGACATAAAATCGGTATTTTGATTTTTGACACCCCGCTTCTTCTCTGCTCAGGTATCCGCTCAGACCGGTCACAACGTAACTCTTGTGGATATGACGAACGAGCTTCTACAGCGAGCGGAGCAAAGGATAAAGGGAAGCGTAGAGAGAGTAGCCAAGAAGCAATTCAAAGAAGATCCGAAGGTAGCTACTATTGCATAATTAAACAGTCTGGGTGGAGTTGTTTCTTGTGCATATAATTATACACCTTTGCAGTAATTAGCAGCTAATTTATGATACTCATTATTATTTTGCAAATTTGTTTATGCAAAAACTTTTATAGGCCCAGAGTGATTTTGCTTCTCAGACTCTATCACGTATAAAGTACATGGTAGATGTTGAAAAGTCAGTGGGCAGCGATTGTGATCTTCTTATTGAAGCTATTATTGAGAATATGAAAATAAAGCAGAATCTTTTCTCAAAGCTAGATAAAGTTGCGCCAAGGTATTTTGAACAATTGCATTTAATAATTTTGACATATTGGTTAAGGGAAGATTAGCAATGTTACCTTTAAAATGAACCAATTTTTGAAAAAAAAACCAAAGGCCTGATCTTGACAAATAAGAATTTTTGAGTTATGGTCATTTTTAAAATGAGCCAAATTTAGAAAAGTACCCTGTACTATAGCCCATGGTTTTTCCAAAAAATGGCTCCAAAATTACCCCCCATTTTTATTACATTTTCTGATACTAATTGATGTCCTGATGTTGTGTAGAAAGTTTGAGCTGATTCCGACTTAAATTTTTCAAGTTATGGCCATTTAGAAAAATAAGCCAAATTCTGAAAAATACCCTGTACTAGCCCATGGTTTTTTCCAAAAATGGCTCCAAAATCACCCCAAATTTTTATTACATTTTCTGATACATATTGATGTCCTTATGCTGTGTAGAAAGTTTGAGCTGATTCCAACTTAAATTTTTCAAGTTATGGCCATTTAAAAAAATGAGCCAAATTCTGAAAAATACCCTGTACTATTATAGCCCATGTTTTTTTCCAAAAAATGACTCCAAAATCACCCCAAATTTTTATTACATTTTCTGATACATATTGATGTCCTTATGCTCTGTAGAAAGTTTGAGCTGATTCCGACTTAAGTTTTTCGAGTTATGGCCATTTTAAAGAACAGGCCGATTTCTGAAAAATACCCTGTACTATAGCCCATGGTTTTTTCCAAAAAATGGCTCCAAAATCACCCCAAATTTTTATTACATTTTCTGATACATATTGATGTCCTTATGCTATGTAGAAAGTTTGAGCTGATTCCGACTTAAATTTTTCAAGTTATGGCCATTTTAAAAAATGAGCCAAATTCTGAAAAGTACCCTGTACTATTATAGCCCATGTTTTTTTCCAAAAATGGCTCCAAAATCACCCCAAATTTTTATTACATTTTAAAATACATATTGATGTCCTTATGCTTTGTAGAAAGTTTGAGCTGATTCCGATTTAAATATTTCAAGTTATGGCCATTTAAAAAAAGGTCAATTTCTGAAAAATACGGTTTTTCATGTCCTGATGTATTTTGGACAAAAAAGCCATAAAGCAGGCTACTTAGTTTGCATGCTTTTTGTGAAACTCTGGTTAATGGTAGTGGTAATGTCTCTTTCCTTTCACTTTTTGTTGCAGTTCAACAATATTCACTAGCAATACTTCATCCCTCTCTATCACTGAAATGGCAAGTGTCACAGGTCGGGCTGACAGGTTTGGCGGCCTTCACTTCTTCAACCCTGTAGCTGTCATGAAACTTGTTGAGGTACATCATTGATACTGAGAAAAAGATATTTTATTGTACAATGAGTGTATACTAAAAATGTGATTTTATTATTATTTATATAAACTAGAAATGTATTGTTATTATTGTTTTAGGTTGTTAGGATTGCTGGTACAAGTGATGCGACGTTTGATACTTTGACATCTTATGTAACAGCTGTGAAGAAGACTCCAGTCTGTTGCAAAGTAAAGCCATTTTATTGTACATGCATGCATCGTAAGCATTCTTGTATACTCCAGGATACTCCAGGATTCATTGTCAATAGACTCCTAGTTCCATATTTGGCTGAAGCAATGAGATTATTGGAGAGAGGTAATGAAATTTTTAATAAAATTAATCATAAAAATTGAGAATTTATTAATTAGGAGATGCTTCGGCACGTGACATTGATACTGCCATGAAACTAGGAGCAGGTAAAACAAAATAATTTATTAGAATAGTTTATTCTTTTTTTTGATGAAAGGTTATCCAATGGGTCCTATTGAACTAGCGGATTATGTGGGATTAGATGTAAATAAATTTGTGCTGGACGGTAAGCTATATAGATGACATATGCTCATGCAAACCCCTTTCTTGAATTAGTAATTATTTATTTATATTTATTTATTCATTTTTAGGATGGCACAAGAAGTTCCCAGACAATCCTCTTTTTGCCCCATCAGAGACTCTTAATAAATTAGTTGATGAAGGAAAACTGGGAGTAAAGACTGGAGAAGGGTTTTACAAGTATGACAAGAAATGACATATAGTGTGAACGATAATAACAACAATAGTAGTAGAGTGTGTGAAATTTAGATAAAGTTCTAATTATTTAATAATGGACTCCAGTAATTAAATAAGTCATTTCAAAACCCCAAAAGGTTCTAAAACCGAGGCAGAGTTATCCATTGCTGGACTGTTAGGCTTTGTATGTACTTCAAATCGTGCAATTGAATGAACTTAAGGAGCTGTCCCGACACATCTTCCACATTATAAGGAACCCCTCCATTAATAAGAGCACTGGCCGAGAGACACTTAAGTCTTGACGGTGTGTCAGTGATATGTGGTAGAGACTGCTGTGGATAAGATACTCCAAATACTTGCCTTGGGGTCTTCCCATCTTTATTGAGCGCATCGGAGTGAACGCCGTTTTGAACCAGAACGGAAACTATTGCTTCTCGACTCTCCTTGTCCGGTAGTCTCACAGCAACATGGATGGGTCTGTTGCCGTGATGATCAAGCTCATCAATGGAATTGATGGCGCCCCAGTTGAGCAGAGCCTGGATGAGAAGAGGGAGACGTGACGACGTCTGCCATCTTATCCTGAGACTAGCTGAAGGATATATGGCAAGGTGGAGGAGATTGCTCTGTGTGAGGACACTCGCTGTGTCTACAAAAGTTTGTCCAGCTCTGTTGAGTGAGTCGGAGCACTTCAGTGGGACCGTAGAGGAGGAGAGCACATAAGACCTGCTGCATTCCTTTGATATCCAACAGGAGAATATCTGCAATAAGGCGTAGTAGACTTTAAGTATGCCTGTAGATGCATCTAATATATTTGTGTGCAGTGAAGTCAATATGCCCATCTTGAGTTGCTGTAGTGCATAATCGACATATTCCTCCCACATTGGTTGGTAGCCATTCTTAACCATTCCCTCGATGGCTGATCCAAACTGTATCATGTACTCCATTGTTCCCTTGAGGTCGTGCTGCCAGTATTTGAGACCCACGTTCTGTGTAGCTATCTCGTAATGGAGCCCCATTGCTCTCTTCCACAGCTCCTCCGCCTCACTGTAGTGCTTGCGCTGGTACATCTTCATCCCTGCCAGGAATACCCAGTTGTAGCTGTTAGAAGAGCCCATGCATCTCTCGTGTATCAGTAGACACTGATAGAGGGACTCTTCCTCAACGTTTGGGTGCTCCAGCAAACTCTTTAGATCAGCCTCAGTTGTTAGCTCTTGCCTTCCTTTGTAAACCAACGAGCTCTCGTTCTCTTCCTTCCTGCCATCTTTAATGACCCTTGCTTCTATCCAGAGATCTATCACTCCTTTCATGCTGTCTTCTTTGATTTTCGTCCAAAACATTCTTGAGGCTGCCCCAAGGAGAAGCTTGGCATCTATCTTACAGAATCTGGGGCAAGCAGCATGAGATACAAAGAGGTCTACAACAGGTTGCCAGCCGTTAGCAGCAGCTAGGAAGAGAGGGCAAGGGACAGAGGACTCAGAAGGACTACTACTCTTTGGGAATAAAAGATCAGCATTTTTAGAAATCATTACTTTTACAACCTCAGCCTGTCCGTGCAGTGCTGCTAAATGAATGGCAGTGTGTCCAGCATGAGTCTTCACTCCTGGATCCACTCCTTGCCTTAGTAGTAGCTCAACTGTTTCTGCACGGCCATATCGGGCTGCGTTGCACAACGGAGTGTACCCAAAGTAATCCCCTATGTTAGGATCAGCTCCCATTTCTAGTAGGACCCTTGCCATTTCTGTAAAGCCGCCCACGCAAGCAGCATTGAGGGCTGTGAGACTCCTTGTCTTGAAGCCAAGAACTTGCTTGTGGCCAAAGTGATCGAGGTCAGGGTAAGTCATGAAGCTCCCGTGATCGATTTCAATAATCTCCTTGAATACATCAAGGAACAGTTGTAGTATTCCAATCCTTCCTTCCATTGCTGCCATTGCCAGTGGAGCCCTACGTTGACTGCTAGGGTCAGGATTGAGAGTCTTTGGACTCAGAATGACCTTCTCTCCATTGGTGGCTACTTTCTTTGTCGCTATTCCCTCCAGAAACTTTCTTAATGAGTCACGAAAGCCTTTCTCTATGTAAGAGGACATTTCATCATGCTCTTCATCAGTCAGCTCATACTCAAGTGTAGTAGATACTTCAGCATAGAATTTAGATGCCATTGTAGTTTCTAACGCTTCTCAACTATTCCCTGACAATCTCTTGTCTATAGCCTCTTCAGTAGCCCTGTGTCTTTCTCTTAATCTGCTGATATAGTCCGACAATATTAGAGTGACTCTAGTGATAAGAATGCATTGTCAAAGCTGTTAGTAGTAGACTATAGCCTGATCAACATCTGGTTCAACCTGTACAGCAACTTAACATTGATACTAATAAATGATAATACCAGAATGATTACACAGTATACTATATTCTTATAAGCACAGTGTGTGCTACACAATGTCCATGAAGATTCACATTCATAGTTATTGTAACAACAAATTATAAGTATAATACAGATTATACAGTACCAAAAACACTATAATAGTGTCTGTAAACAAATTAATAATCACTTATGTTTCTTCTTCTTTGCTTTAAGACTTTCTACTCCATTGCTCCCACTGATGACAGGTGACACCAAACAGAGAGCAAGCTTTGAGGTCTGCAGGTCCTTTTTCTCTACAGCAATCCTCACCACAACCTTATCAAAGAGACAAAACTTAGTTCCACTCACAGTCAGCGACAGTAGAGACTCATCATACTGGAGAGCAGACTGTCCATGCTCATCAAAAAATATACTGCCCTCAATCCCATAGGCTGGTATAATGACTTGAATGGCATTACGCCTTACTAGTAACACAAATCCATCTTCAACTTTATCCTTCTCTTTAAAGAAGAGGTGAGTGTGTAGAGAGACAGACGACCTCTGGGCATACTGGGCCATCTTGTGGCGATGATTGAGATGATTTGAGAGCTGTTGGGTGTGATGCTTGTCTAAAAGTAAAGGATAAGTGACATCAGAGTCTATAGATACAGCCAGTAGCCTGTGGACAATGATATCAGAATAACGACGAATGGGAGACGTGAAGTGAGTATATATTGGAGCGGCAAGACCATAGTGATGATACTCCTTGTAAGTTATGGACCCAGAGCAGAAGTACACAGCTTGCATCATGCAGCGAGTAGCCATTATACGAAGGAGAGTATTGAAGTATTCATTGTCCGGTATCCGAGCCATTTCCAAGGAGTCGGCAAGACTCTTGGCACTATCAACAATCAAATCAAACCCTTTACCCTTTGCAGCTTTGAGGAGAATGTCGTAATTGGAGGTAGGAGGAGGTGGGTGTCTTCTCAGCAACGCACAGTCTGGGAATGCCTCATATATGGCCTCGGCAACAGAGACGTTGGCTAGCAACATAAACTCCTCAACGAGTGAGTTGGTTTCTTTAAGCTCTTTATTAATCAGGTCAATCGGGTCGTGGGTCTCACTGTCAATCTCGAATCTTATCTCTGGAGAGGCGAGAGTGAGTGCTCCAGCCTCCAACCGTCTCCCTTTGAGGATCTTAGCCAGAGAATTGAGTCCTCTGAGACTAGTGGTGACATCATCTCTCAGGCTCTTATCGTCAATCTTCATCTGAGCTTCAGCATAAGTCAAGGACTCTTTAGACTCTATCACGGTCTTTACAAAACGAGTGGAGACAATATGAGCATCATCAGGGCTCATCTCCCATAGGACAGAGAAGGCCAACCTCTCCTCTCCCGAGCGAAGAGAGCACAAGTTAGAGCTCAAGAGTTCCGGGACCATGTCTATCCTTTTTTCGGCAAGATAGACTGTAGTACCTCTATTAGAGGCTTCTTCATCAAGAGCAGTCTTTGGTCTTATGAAATGAGACACGTCAGCTATATGGACACCCACTTCAACATTGCCATTGTCCAGTTCTCTATAATGAAGAGCATCATCAATATCAGTACAGCCTGGTGGATCAACACTGCATATGGAGAGGTGACGAAGATCAAGACGTTTGGATATCTCTTCATCTGTTATGACCCAGGGGGTTTGGGGGAGGTCCTTCAAGACAGCAGGAGAGAAAGGAAGGTGAGGTACGTCATGTTCTAAAAGGAGAACTTCGTTTTCTGTCTCTCTGTCTCCAATCGGACCTAATTCTTTTACGAAATGACCAGAAGGGAACCTAGCTAAACGGGACCAGGCATCAATGCTAACCATTATTCTCTTCCCCAGTAGGTTAGGTCCTTGTCTTGTTTCTATTCTGATACGAGGTATCCTCCTCTCTGCTGGTACAAAGGTGTGACGAAACCCTTTCATGTCTTGAAGGGGTAAGAGTGTACCACAATATGGCCTCCAGTTTCTCTTTATGATACCAACCACCTTACCAGTTGGTTGTACAAGAGAAGGATCGCTTGTTTTACCAGCAGGCAGTTGAGCTGTGTCAGTCTCCTCTTCCTCTTTGTTGCTAGTAAGATCAGCCTCTATGATACCACATGGGCTCGTCCAGGAAGATTCTGGGAAGAGTTCAACAGCTACAACATCGTCGTGGACTGCTCTATTCATATTCTCAAGTCCTTGAACAAGGACCCACTTTTCCAGTGATGGAATGCTCACAAAACCTTCTAGATAGTTCTCACGAGACCCTCGGAATGCTCCTTGTAGATACTTGCCAGTCTTGAGGCCTCTCTGTATCACAGACAGGGCCAGATGCTCCGGAAAATAAACCTTTTTACGAGTCGAGGACTTGTCACTGTCTTCTCCATCGGCTATGGTGGCAAGCCTATCAAGTAAGTGGGAGGAGACAGTGAGAGACTGTACGTATTCCAATACAGTGTATGATTCTATTCCAGCTGCACTAGCCCTCCTCTTATTCTCTCTATCATTGGTAAGTAGTATCACACGAGGAGGTGGTGTAGTTTCCAGTCCCTTTGCTAAGTGTATGTTGTACCACTGACAGCAGGCACGAATTGCCCGGTCATTACGATCGTTGGCTCCCTCATTCTCTCGTCGCTCAACATACGCCTCTTTGTGATGCTCGTTTGAAAAGACATAAAACTTTCTTGCCTTGTTTGAGACGATATCTCGTAGCCTCCTGTGAATCCCAGGATTAATGTTACGGACTTCTTGTAGAACGACCTGAGTCAATATAACATTGTGTACTGAAGGATCCTCAAGGAAATCAATCTGGTGGAGACATATGTTGGTATCTGGTAGTAGGAAATGAGGATACTGGCAGAGAGTGGAGTGTGTGAGGGGAGAAGGGTCGAGGGAAGGTCCGTCCGGGCAGTCTTTGCACAGTGAGCAGTCTCTGACTCCACAATGAACGTCATCTCTAAGGTAGTGCTCCCTCACGACCTTTAGGACGTTTCCTTTCTTGGTTTTCTTCACAAAAGTTTTAGAAGTGAGCATGTTGAAAGAGTGACCCCACCCTGTCCTTGCCCATAAAGCTCCATGTGAAAACACGTGATAAAACGATTTAGCTACATCATGGACGATTTAGCTAAATCAGTGACGATTTACCTAAATCAGTGATGAGTTACCCGAATCATCGACGATTTAGCTAAATCATTGACGATTTAGCTGAATCATTGACGATTTAGCTAAATCATTGACGATTTACCTAAATCAGTGACGATTTACCTAAATCAGTGATGAGTTACCTAAATCAGTGATGAGTTACCCGAATCATTGACAATTTAGCTAAATCATTGACGATTTACCTAGATCATTGACGATTTAGCTAAATCATTGATGATTTACCTAAATCAGTGAAGATTCAGCTAAATCAGTGATGATTTACCTCAATCAGTAATGATTCAGCTAAATCAGTGATGATTTACCTAAATCATTGATGATTTAGCTAAATCATTGATGATTTAGCTAAATCATTGATGATTTAGCTAAATCAGTGATAATTTAGTTATAATTGATGATTTAGCTAAATCAGTGACGATTTAGCTAAATCATTGATGATTTAGCTAAATCATTGATGATTTAGCTAAATCCTTGATGGTTTAGCTAAATCAGTGATGATTTAGTTATAATTGATGATTTAGCTAAATCTGTGACAATTTAGCTAAATCATTGATGATTTAGCTAAATCAGTGATGATTTAGCTAAATCATTGATGATTTAGCTAAATCAGTGATGATTTACCTAAATTAGCGATGATTTAGCTAAATCATTGATGATTTAGCTAAATCAGTGATGATTTAACGAAATCAACGGTAATCCAGCTAAATCAATGGTAATATAATTAAATTTATAGTAATTTACCAAGTCGATGAGATATTTTAAAGGTGGGGTTTTGACACAAACGGCACCCTATACTAGCAGTAAAAGGTTACAAATTTGTTTTTCAGGCCGCGATTCTGCGATTGAGACAAGACTAAGACCATAAATTTATTCCAAGACGACAGCAAGTGGCTACTTTTTTCTGTTCATACCTGCTGGACTGCTCGCTGCCCACAGTCCCCAGACCGTTTCCTCGGCCTAAAATAGCCTGGGCAGTGAGACTAACATCTTGTTTTACTTAGTTGAAATGAAGAATAGATCTACAGTGTATCATGCATTAGAAGTTACTCAAATAGTTTTGTTTAGTATTAATGCAGTTATAAAACTATGCTTTGCACTAGTTTGCAGCAGCAGCATGATCTGCATCAGAGTGATTTGCTAGTTTGCATGCTTACAGGAGTCCATGATGCTTAGGCTTCTACATTCGTCTAATTATAAATTTCAACAATGTAAATACGGTCAAATCAAAATGTCACAAATACAAAATGTATTAAAATCTTTTTAAACTACACACATTAAGGCAGCAGAGATGTGTATACATACAAAGAGAGAATAAAGAAAGAGCAGGCAAAGAAAGTAGAAAGTTAAACTGGAGGCAACTGACGGAATCGTTCCCTTGCACTCTCCCGTGGTGAAGACTTTAAAATTTCTGTCATAAAGCTTAAAGGAAATAAATAAATAAAAGAAATAATCCAAACATTCATTATTATTCAATACCTTTCAGAGTTTAATATTGTATTGCTTCCAAGGACTATTCTCATTCCTTGATTAGAACTGTTCATCTGTGCTACAGCAAAAGCCTCCGCATAAGTCGCTCCACCCACAATAAAAACTATGACATCCTGTGGCTTGTCACCCAAAGGGTCTCCCATGAAAGGATACTGACTCTCACGAAGCTTTCCCTTCATAAGGTTCTCTAAAACATCAACAAGGTAAGGTTTGTGTCGTGTGTATACATTCTCAACACCCTGAGAGAGAGAAAGGGAGAGAGATAGAGAATAGAAAGATGATGACAATAGTGTGTCTTCATACCTTTAATCCTCTTAGAAACTTCTTCATAGTCAAAGGATTGCTTGACTCAAATAATTTACTGGTTCTCTTTTCTTCACGATACGACTCCATTATAGCATCAACCAGCTATAGGGGAAGGTACATGTAAATTTCAGTATGGGAAAAGTCACAATAATTATACTCAAGCATTATTAGTTAATGAAATTGACTAAAACTTCTGTATGGTTGATTCCTTTATATGACATCAGGTCATGCGTGTACTTGAAAGTTCTGAAATGATTGTAGCAATTACTTACATCAAGTTTCTGATCTGGTATTTCTCTCATTCTCAAAAGCTTCACTAAATGATCGATCTCAGATCTCTTCAGCTGTCCTTCATATCGCAATACAATCAGCAAAACAAGCCTAAGACAGTCAACACTGCGTACAGCAGAATTCTTAATGAGCGACTCAACATTCTATAAAAAAGAAAAAGAATAAAATAGTGAATAAACAAATGCCATGTGCCTCTTCTTCTTTCTTTGTTACAGTACCTTATAGTGGTTGCTCTTTTCAGACTGGGTCACTATGTCTTGCTCTGTTTCAGAGACAGCCATCAAGTGATGCTCTGCTACTATGCGAGACAGCTCACTTACCACAGCGACATGTTTAGCAACAGTTCCAGACAGCTTACGAAACTGAGGGTAATTCTCAACAAAAGCCTAGCGACAAGTCACACGTTAATCATTTGACCTACAAGCAGAGCTCATACTTTCATGTCAGCAATAGACTCTATCTTGGCATGACTTTTCTGTTTCTCCTGAAAAGAGTCCACCATTGTCTTTATGTTAGCACCAATATCACCGAAATTTAAATACATGTTCTACAAAAAATACATACATGTACATGTACATGTACATGTACATATGTAAATGTTGACTAGCTGCTACATGTACAGTGTACATCATTGAAAGAGTTTACCTCTCTGAAAAACTCATCGCTTTCAGGCGAGAGAACAATTTCCTACACAAAATTAACAACAATAATAATAATAACCACATTATTACTTGAAGTTCTTTGGTAATACCAGGAGCTCTTGACAAATCAACACGATGATTCTGAATACCAAAAACCTCGTGAACCATAGCTTGGTAAGACCACTAGAGATAGATAGTGAGAGAGAGCAGTAATAACAAGAGGCAGATGTACCTGATTAAGGAGTGGCGTGACAGGGTCATCTTTACGGTCAAGAATCAAAAGCAGAGGAGGAACATCCGATCGAAAATCAAACAGTTCCCTCTCCTGACGATGATTAATGCTCCTCTGAAAGAGAATGAAAGAAGTAAATAGGATATAAGGGGAGAGTGAACTTACATAAAGGTCATCAGCTAGTCTCTGTGAGACACGGGATGAGTGAGTGTATCTGTAAAGAGAAACAAAGTGGAGTTACATTAAGTGTATTATGTACCTGATGTAAGGTTTCTTCTTCAAGGAGAGTAAAGCTGCTACTATACCATCACAGACTCTTTTGTACTCGAGTCCAGACTACACAAAGTAACATGTAACAAAGAAGCTAGCTAAGATGTACATGTAGAGATAGACTAACTGTTGTTAAATGATCAATATTAAATGAAAAGAGATGCTGCCCAACGGCCAAATAATCAGCATAATACTCCTGTTGAGAATAATCATAATAATAATGACATGTATCTATCTATTTCGATGTTTCTCTTACCTTTACTTCACGCACTGACTCCTGGTCATCACACAAAGCTAGTTTCTCAATGGAGCCCCTGTCTATTCTGTTAGTAAAGTATATAAAGTAAGAGCCGTATTTCGGAGTCTTGAGCTCAGTGCACAGCAGATCAATGTTCTCCTAAAGCAATGAATAAACAACAATACATGTACATACATGCTAGAGCTGTGAACCGGTTTTAGGTTAACCGGTTAACCGACTGGTTACAGCATAATTTTAGGTTATCAGTTATTTTTAGCTATAACCGGTTTTATGAAATTAATGATTTTATGTACTGTGAAGTTAAAATTTATCATATTTCAGGCAAGAACACTTCCAATATCTAGTAAATTGACCTTTGTGACCCAAAAGACAATGCCATATATCATTGAAAAGAGCACATAAGTTGTGTTGGCCAACTAAATCAAACCCTACAATTTATTATTTATCGTAATTCTTGCTATTCTTACTTATTTATAGTGGTATTATTAAGTTTCGTTTAACAATCAGTTAACCGATTAACCGTCAGTTATTGGTGACCAGTTAACCGGTTATGCTAAGTGGCCCAGGTTCACAGCTCTAATACATGCATGAGAGACCTAATGAGGGTAATACATTAGGCCAGTGCCCATGGCTGCATAATGCACCATTTCATGTATTATGAGTTATTCATTTTACAAATTTAAAAAATTCGTAAAAAATCCAATTTTGATCGGAATCAGTTCAAACTGGCTACACAACATAAGAACATGTATATGTATCAGAAAAAAAATTATAAAACTAAGAATTGTCTCCTAGTCATTTTTGACAAAATTTGGCCAAAATCCCTGTACTATAGTACAGGGATTTTGACTTGATTTTGGAGCAACTTTAAAAATTCGTAAAAAATCTAAATGTGATTGGAATTAGCTCAAACTTTCTACACAACATAAGTACATGTATATGTATCAGGAAAAATTATAAAAATGGAAAATTCTCTCCTTTTCATTTTTGGTGAAATTTGGCCAAAGACGCTGTACTATAGTACAGGGATTTTGACCTGATTTTGGAGCAATTTTAAAAATTTGTAAAAAATCTAAATGTGATTGGAATTAACTCAAACTTTCTACACAACATAAGTACATGTATATGTATCAGGAAAAATTATAAAAACTGAGAATTCTCTCCTAGTCATTTTTGTCAAAATTTAGCCAATGATAGTATAGGCACCTTGGCTTGATTTTTGAGTAGCTTTTAAAAATTTGCAAAAATCTAATTTTGTCAGAATCAGCTCAAACTTGCTACACAACATGAGAACATGCATAGGATATAGCTTATAACTATATGACTATACGATTATCATCAATATTATGATGTGCTTAATAATGTGCTTAATACTACTTAATTGACTCATTCCTTACAATGGTTGGTCTTATGATACAAATGGCACTGAGATGCTTCATTGCCTCACGACCTGTGTTACTCAATAACTCGAAATTATAGACTTCCTTTTGTAATATATCAGACTGAGAATAGACCATACTAACAATACTGATCTGTGATGGAGAGTGGGGGAGAAAGAGAGAGGGGAAGTTAGAAAAGTCATAGCATACACTGGCCAGATACCATAAGCTACATGATTAGACTTTTTACCGTTTCTTTGTCCATTATAAGAACCTTCATGCCCGTTCCAGCCTCAGCAATCATCCTTGATACATATTGCTTTACTCCTCTAACGACGTCCATTTTTGTTGACCACACCCACAACAGTAAAGCTGGGCGTGGCATAGACAAAAATAATTAACTATGATTATTATAGTGGGCGTAAAAAATTTTTTTGAGAAACTGACGATTTGAGTGATTACAAAAATAACCCACTACACTTAAATGAAAAATTGTCTCTGTTACACACACCCACCTGTAGGACATAAACTAATAATTTGATAAAGAAGGGACTATATACAATATTCTTGATCATCAACATGAGCCTTGCGCCTAGTGTGTTTAGTAGATTTATGGACGACAAGGTTGGGCAGCATGAACTTGCAGTACCTGCACTTGCACTTATCGTCCTTCTTCTGTAGCCTCTGGCTATACCTTCTTTCCCTGATGCTGTTAGCAGTGACTCTTCTCCTAAGGTTTGCTTTTATAGAGCTGCTACCTCCGTAAGACTTTGATATTTCAAAATCATTTTCCTCCGTAGAGCACTCGCTTAGTGCTTTATCCTGACTCATAATTTCCTCTGCTATTTTCAAGCCTCTAGAGCTTGCCTCTTCTCTTCCTAGATACTTCTGCTTAACGTCACAATCCTCTTTTAGCTTTTTCCTCCTCAAAAGCATCGGAACTCTTTCTAAACAAATAACAGGTCTTTTAGTAAATGATCGGGGTTCTGTAAGCGATGAAAAACTTTGAAGGGACATAAGGGATGATGGAGAGCTGACAGACTTTGTACAATTTGAAGAAGCGGAAACAGATGACTGGATATGCACTCTCATTCGATGACGTATTAAATCAGACAAAAGTGAGAACTCCACAGAACAAGTATGACACGAGTACTGACCTTTATAGTGATACTGATATTCTCTGAGGTGCGATGAGTAAAAGGAGTAATCGGTACAATCCTCGCTGTGTCTGACGAGACACTCAAATCGCGAGAATCCCTCTCCACACCCCTCACACACAAACGGTTTTATTTCGATGCATTTGTGAGAACTCAAATCCGGAAAACTCTGTCCACAACGCCGACAGTGTATATTAGACGAGTGGCTACGTGTCTGGTGGAATGACAGAGAGCTTAGCATTTCAAAGCCACACCCACACAACAAACATGTGTACGGGAACTGCTTGAGGTGTAATCGTAAGTGATACAAGAGGAGATACCGTTTATGAAATGTCTCTGAACACACTCCACATATAAAAACAAATTTACCTAAAACAAAGCTGATTTAACGTTATTACTATGCTTCTTTGTGCTAACCTGATTGTGAAATATCTTTTAGAGTAATAGGCATTGATACAAACCCAGCCAGATCAATCTTGATCACTTTAGTTGTAGAAGGAGCAGGCTCCTCCTCAACCCTTGCTCTTTTGCTTGAAGCCATCTTATTTATTGGCACACGTACACGTGGTTGGCACACACGCCCCTTATAATTAATTGAAACTGTGGATAAATACATTAATAAGGATAACACTATCCTGAATGAGATGTGCATGTATAACACTGTCATGTATAACACAATATTATTTATAACACAACACTACTTTATTCATAAGTTGAGAGTAAATGATTTCAACTGAACTAGCTACAAGTCAGTGACATAAAGAATCCTAGAGAGAATTGAGAGGGTGATGCTTTGTAAAGTGCTTGACGAGATAGATGTAATACTTGTACACCTTGCCACACTGGTCACATTCAAAAACCCTCCTATCAGCAGAAGAGGTTTTTGTGGTAGCATCAACCAAACAATTGTTGGTAAGTTCCGGTGCCACTTCATTTATCATTTGAGTGGACGGTTGAACATCACTTCCAGATTGACTGGTTGACAATGAACTTTCTAATTCAGAGCTAGCATCAGCAGAAGTATCAGGAATGCTAACTGGTTGCCCTTCGTCTGAGCTAGCAGGTTCAATCCTGGCAATTTTGGTGCTGCTTTTAGTTTCCAAGGTCTCGCTGTGAAACTTTCTAATGTGCCTATTTCTTGTATAAGTGGTAGAAAACACCCTCTGACAAAACATGCATTCCTTATAATCATGAATCTCTTGCATGTGACTGCGAAAATCGGAAATGTCTGAGAAAGATAAACGACACATCTTGCATTCCTGTGTTTTTCTTGATTGCTTTCGTATACCAGTAATAGCCATAGTAGCTTTATTTGTATGACATGCTCTTGAGTGAATACTAACTTCATCTAGGGTAGGATACTTAGCATCACAATGCCCACACTTATACATCTCACTGTGCACATTATCATTTTGAGTCTCTGCCGGTGCTGAAGTCTGTAAAGATTCAGCAGCAGAACTAGTGCCATCAATAACATCCACAGAATCACTGGCACTGGCATGCTTTTCCTGAGGTGAAAAAGAAGAATGTTCTGCTTCTCTCTTATCATGCACCTTCATGTGCCTTTTAAGTGAACTGCAGTTCAATACTAGACCACACTTTTTGCACATTGTCCTAGGCCTTTGATGTTTCTTAGATGCACAGGTGGCTTTGTGATTTTTAAGGTGCTTTTCTGTCACGCAATAGGCACCACAAGTACTGCACTTGTAAGGGTAACGACCAGAGACCATTCGAAAGGGATGTTTACTGCTCAGGTGTTCTTGCAGTTCCTTATCAAACTGAAAAGCCTTCTTGCAAAATCTACAAGAATATGGCATTGGCAAGGGAAGAATACTACAACGCTGACTTTTTTCAATGTCATAATAAACATACTTTCCTTTAGGATGCACATCAGTACATCGCGAACTATTGCTAGGAGCAAATGACTTATGGTTCTTAATCTTATGCTTAATTAGTTGACCTAAATGTGAAAAATTGACTTTGCAAGTACGGCAATTGTAAGATCCTTTGAACTCATAATGGTACTCTCTGAGTGACGTGCTGCAAGAAGAATAATCATTGCAAGATTTGCTATGATCATTTAAACTAGATAGTCGCCCAAAACCAGAACCACAGTTCTGACAAACATATGGGCGTTTTTCAATACAGACATGGTCGGGGAACTTGGCTTCAGGAAAACTCTGCCAGCAACGTTTGCAATTTTTGTAGCTCGGATGCTCCTTCCTGCAGTGCCTACTTAACTGCTCACCTCTAGAACGCCCACTTTGGCAGATACGACAGACATATGGAAACTGTTTAATATGGGTTTGCAAGTGATACTTCAATATGTAAGGCTTGTTGAACGCAGCCATGCATGTGGCACAAATGTGTTGATCTTCTTTAATGCCTAAATAACTAAGCTTAAAATACTGTAATATAAATTTCAGTGTCAATACCTGACACCTGAGACTCGATAGAGGCAACACGTGAAGTACCAGCTGTTTCTTGACCCTCTGTTGAGACTGTCAAGAAAACTTCAGCTCTTTCAGTCTCAAGTGATGTGTCTTCCAAAGGCATATCTTGGGTGTTCCCCAGGCTTCCAATTATAATATCCGCGCCGTATAGTTCCTCGTACTGCTCCGTGGGGAGACAAGACGGGATGCCAGAAGCGGCAGAAAGAGGGAGCAAGGACACAGCGGCCATGACACTTCTTTAAAATGTAGTAAACACGTGCCACGTGGTGACGTGATTGAATGACTATTGACCACAAGTTAAATTTAAGAGTCTACTCCAATCAAAAATTAAGTACAAGTGTTAGTGTATGATTCTAATAATAATAAGATGCCTCTCCAGTGTCACATTATCTCATTGGCCAGAATCAGAAGACAAAGGCACTTTCTGTTCAAGCATTGCCTGTAAAATAAGCTCCAGGCAATTGGCAACTGCTGGATTAGGAGCACAACAAAGTGCCGGAGTATAATCTATAGAGAACAAATTGTATAGAAGAAGAGCATGTACAACCATTACCATCTGAGTCACGTGCATAAAGATCAGTCCCTCTCTGTATTAATTCCTTTACTACTCTGGTAAGACCAGACTTGGCAGCAATATGAAGTGCACTACAAAATATAAATAGACATGAACATCTTCCTCTTTCTCTCCCTGCTAAGTGTTATTACGTTTTAGAGCTATTGTTGGCTTTCTTGATTAGATCATTAGAACACTTTTCCAAAACAGCCAAAGCACACTCCTCGTGTCCCTGGAACCAAACACAACACCCACAGCTCACATTAAAGCAACTGCAATGTACACATGGACCCACCTTTAAACAAGCAAGATGTAAGGCAGAATTATTCTGCTGATCAACAGAGTCAACGGATAACTTCTCAGAAGGAAGACCCATCAAAAGATCTAGAAACAAATTTTAACAATAAATGCACCAGAGACACTGAATGTGTTTGAAGACAGAGTAAACAATTCAACAAAAATGACATACAAGTACATGTACACACAAACTCACTTACCCAATACACTGGAATGACCCGCATTGGCTGCCACCATTACCGGAGTGCGTCCATTACTATCCGATACACTAACTTGGGCACCATATTTGAGGAGGAGCTGCATGCATTCAACGTGATTGTTGAATGCAGCAGCATGCACTGCAGTGCGGCCCTTGCTGTCTTGAGTGTCAATGGTTTCCCTCTTCATCCTCTCAAGGAGAAGATCAGCACAAGAATCATTATCATTAATACTAGTGGAGGAGTATTATCAAAACATAAATTTTAAATGTACAACGTACATGGCACAGTGAAGAGGAGTAAAGTTGTTGCCAGTTATCATATCAGTACCACTTTTCTAAAGAGAGAAACAGAAATAAACACATTCTCGCCAACCCTTTAACCATAAATATTATAGACTAGATAACCTAAGATTAAGGTAACCTAATGTAGTCTATAATACATGTATAAAAACATGTATCATAGACTACATCTATGGTTAGACCTATCACATATCTATATCTATGGTTAGACCTATCACATTCGCTGCTCCTTTCACAAGTTGACATACCTCAACTAAACTTTCCAAACACTTTTCATGACCTACAAAAGAACAAAAACATTCTAAAAATACAAATAAATATACTAGCTCCATTACCATTGTAAGCTGCCCAGTGGATAGGAGTATATCCACTGTTGTCTACAGCTATGGGAGAGCCACCAGAATTCAAGAGACAGTCAAGTATTGTGACATGACCACAAGCAGCTGCAAAATGTACAGGTGTCCTCCCAAATTGGTCCCTGTTCACAAAAAACAGTTTAAACAGAGAAAAATATCAACTGTGCTAGGTTAGGGCATTAATGGGCTATAATAAAATGTGTGACTTGTGCTTATTGAGGTTTAAATTAACACAAATAATATAATTTCTGGTATACTTATTGGAAAGAGGCATATACATCTTTAGGAGGAGACAAGTTTCTTTGACAGCTTGTTAACATTATCAAGGACAAGCTAGAACTACGATAAGCTTACAGCTCATCAATTTAGCAAAACAAATTTTAAGGGCTCCAGCCTGACCATGTCTTGATGTACAAGTACATGTACATGTATCTGCACAAACAAACAAGACTTTTTCACTAAGGCCCTTAAACTGGTAGAGTAGCTTGCCCTTTTTCAACTAAAAACTACATGTAAGTTGCCAGCACCTTTCTGATTCTATGGCATGAGATATTCTACTATAATACATAAAGTATGCAACATTCTGAGTGAACTAATGTTACCAATGGATGCATTGGCTAGTAATGGCTACTGACCTTGCTGATGAATCTGCCTGTGCATTTAACAAGGTCTCAACACAGTCCTCAAAACCACAAGCAACCTAAGGAAGGCAAAGAGAGAGAGGGTAAAACCCTTTGTATGTAGCATTATCCCTAACTCACAGCACGATGAAGAGCAGTGCACAAATACTTGTCAGTATAATCTAACTGGGCTCCTTGCTCAACAAGGACTTGAACAACAGGCACATGACCATTAGTAACTGCAAGCATTAGTGGAGTCCTACAAACAGAATAGAAGACACTAATTCTATAATCATCATTCAATACCTTCCTTGATTATCAACCACATCAATTTGAGATCCTTTACTGAGATAGCGAAGCATCATCTGGACACACTCAACATGGCCATTACTGGCTGCAAGACAAGGAGTTTATAAATACACAAATGATCATAAGTATACCGGCGGCATGTAACGGAGTCCTTTTAGTAACTAAATCATGTACAATCAAAGATGCACCATTACCAAGCAAATAATCTACAATTTCCCTAAAAATACAGTAATAATAATAATAATAATATTAATAATTCATAATAATAGGGGAATTTTTTATGACTGACTTGTGACCACGGAAGGCAGCTAGGTCAAGTGGGGTACGTCCCTTGTCGTCCTTATGGTCAAGAAACACTTGAAACTTATAAACCAATTCCTGTAGAACTTCAAAGTGCCCATTATATGCCTAATAATGCATACACACACTTATATAAATGACATCCACTCAATTAATTACTTACAGCAAGGTGAATGGGTGTGGTCTTGGTCTCTCCTGTAGTAATGGCGGATATGTCACCAGGAGCATAATCAATTGCCTGAGAATAAAAAATGGTACATTACAATAGAATATAATTTTTTCTAAAATGCAATAAGTAATAATTGTATTTGTACATCATTAACATGTAGCTGAAACTTTCTACATGGCATAAAGGCATCTGCATCTACATGTACATGTTTACATAAAATCAACTGTTGAAAAAGCATGTAAATACATGTACAGTGATTTTCCTTAAACTTGCATGATAGGCAAGCAGAAATGTGTCATGCACATGCTCTGTTGTGGTCAGGAATAAAATGGATGCACCTACTTAATACTGACCACAACAGAGCATGTTCATAACACATTTCTACTTGACTATCATGCAAGTTTAAGGAAAATCACTGTATATTCCATCTCACACACACTCTATCTCTGCCTTTACCATATTCACAGCAAGTCTGTGTCCATTACAGGCAGCATAATGGAGTAGGGTAAACCCTTTACTGTCAGTAGTGAATGGAGTACCACCAGGAAAACTCCTCAACATATGCGCAACACAGCTAAAGGAAAAGAAGTAATTATTAGAAAAGAACATAATTTACTTTCCATCAGTATCAGAAGCAGCTGCATAGTGAAGTGGAGTCCTCTTAAAGTTATCAACAAGAGTCAAGTTAGCTCCATTGGCAACAAGAGAGAGGACACATTGATACTGAGCACAGGCAGCAGCATAATGTATTGGAGTCCTGGGAAGGAGAGGAATGAGAAGAATGAATAAGTTTATGACTTACCTTCCAAGTTTGTCTCTGGCATTAATTTGACAGCCTTCATTAATCATCATATCAACACATTCAATGTTACTGAGAGAGAGAGAGAGAGAGAGAGTGTGTGAGAGAGTATGCATTAAAATATCATTATTATTATTATGACATACCCTCCACAAGCAGCTGCATGAAGACAAGTCCTCTTATCAGTATCTAACTCCGTAGCAATTTCTGAATCTGCAGCAGATATACACACATCACGTGTAGAAATTTACAGGTAAAATACATGTACTACTAACCAGATGTAATTAAGTTATCAATACAATCAGAGTAACCACTGAGACAGGCCATATGAACTGGAAGCATGCCCCCTGCTCCACGCCTACACACAATGACATGAGAGTCACATTACCTAGTAATAGCTCACTTGTTCTTATTGGCTCCATAAGATATCAGTTTCTTCACAACAGAGGCGTGGCCATGACGAGCAGCAATATGGAGGGACGTGTTACCCTCTTTATCTTCAACATCTACACGAGCACCTGGAGAGAGAGAGAGAGAATGAGAGATTGAGGAACACAAGATACATGTACCGTGATTAATAAGTGTCTCAGTGCGAAGATAAAATCCGTGAACTGATGTCATATGGAGAGCAGTACGTCCATTTATATCCTTAAAATAGGACAAATAACAACCACACCCATCAACCCAGCTAGTGGCTAAATTTCAATACCTTGACATTAGGATCAGCACCTGCTTTAACAAGCAGTTCCATGCAGAGAGCACCGTGATGTGACCATGCAGCATAATGCAATGGGGTCTGCCCATGAATGTTAAGCTGATTAATGGTGGCCTTGTGCTGTAAGAGGACATCGACAACAACATCTTGACCATTATTACAAGCAACATGGAGAGGAGTGCAGCCATGAGAATTAGTAACATCAACCTTAGAAAGACAGGGAAAGGTAAAAGCAATTAAAACTATTTGACAATACATCAGCATCCAGCTCCAAAAGCATCTTGACAGCATGGACCTGACCACCAGCAGCTGCAGCGTGTAACGGAGTATATTGCTAGTAAGAGAAAGGGAAAGAGTTACTCATAGCAGCTTTTACATTCACAAAGTGTTAAAATAAACAATTAGTATCTCTATTATCTAATATATGAACAATACAATCTGAGACATAGAATGAGACATGTGTATGTGTAAATTGCACAATACCTTCTTGTCTTTACTGTTAATGTCCCCACCACAGCCTACAATACTATTAATGCAATCCTGATGGCCTAAAGGAGTAAAACAGAATAATAGAAGAGAGAGGGAGAGAGGGATGAGTGTCTAACCCATGTAAGAAGCCAAATGCAGTGGAGAGCGATCTTTTTTATCGAGTGCCCTCACACTGGCACCTTTGACCAGCAAAAGAGATACCATCTATAATAATGGAGGGAAGAATCAAGTGTGTGTGTGTGTGTGTGTGTGTGTGTGTGTGTGTGTGTGTGTGTGTATGGGTTACCTCAGCGTGGCCATTGTAACAGGCATGATGAAGACTAGTCTTGCCAGTTCTATCAGCAATGTCAACATTAACCAAGTGAGCAATAATAGCCTCTATATATAATGTAAAGTATAAAAGGGAGAAAGAGAGAGAGAGAAAGGATAAAGAGACATTCTTTTGTTGCTTTTTATTACCGGCTGAGGCTATGTGATTATTGTGAGCTGCCAAGTGTAAAGGAGTCATCCAGTTCTTTTCTCTAGCCATCAGTTCAGCTTGGTTCTTGATCAATTCTCTAACAGCAGCCTATCAGCAGAGAATGAGGATCAATGTATGCATAAGAGAACATAAGAACATGTACAGAAACAAAAAAATGGTCTAAAAAATTTTGGATGGCATAGTACATGTACATGATCTTTAGTTGAATTTTTGAGCAACTTTAAAAATTCATTAAAAAATCCAATTTTGATTGGAACCAGCTCAAACTTGATACACAGCATAAGGACATGTATATGCATCGGATAAAATTATAAAAATGGAAAATTCTCTCCAAGCCATTTTTGATGAAACACCCTGCAGTACTAGCTATTAGTAACATACATCATGTCCACGAGCAGCTGCATAGTGCAATGGAGTAAGCCAGTTAGAATCCTTTACATTCACTTTACCACCTATGGGAGGGAGAGAGAGAGAGAGAAACGATGAATCGTGCATAATAGAATAATTATACAAAGTCATAATGAGGGGTTTATGTGTTGTGAATAATGTAATGGATGATTGACTAATGGGATTAACACTGTTATGTCAACAAATGGTCTGTCTGTCTCTCAAACATACCAGCTTGTATGAGTGCATTGATGCTCTCAGTATCTCCAACATAAGCAGCTGCATGCATAGGAGTCCTTTTATCATGGTCCTGCATTAAAAAGTCATAAAGTAATTTCATAATACATATACACGTACATGTTTCCATTTGATCATTGAAAAGTAAACATGCACATGTACATATGTAGGCCATGTACTAAAATAATCATCCATTTTTAACAAATGATAACGATGAAAGCTTAATCATATAAAACCCTACCATTACAACTCAATGCATAAAACATATACATGCATAAATACTGTATTGCCCCTTTAAACGTATGACTCCCATTACATGTACATGTACATGTAATGTCTCACCACAGCATTCACTTCCTCCCTTTGTGTGATTAGCTCAGTCAACTGAATGACATTTCCCTCAAATATTGCTTGGATTATTGGGAGGTCGTATATCTTTGGAGACCCTAGGGACATCATTTTGGTGAGATGTAATCGAAGCTGGGCCCCAAAATCCTAAAGAGAATGTAATAATCAAAATCAACCAATACTACAATTATTGGGCCTAGTTTCTCAATAATAGCATCAATTCTAATTAGACTTATATTAAATTATCCTAAAACAATTGTTGGGCCAAGGTCCATATCTATGGGCCAAGTTTGCAACTAGACCTCATGATTATCCTCTTCAGACATGGCGGAAACTCAGTAGAAGCAGTGAGGTAGAGAAAAGGGGCTAAAGGCTCGTGACAATAGTGCTAGGGGTAGGTAGGGCTAACACTTTGTTTAGGCTAGTAAAAGCTAGCTTCCTAAATAAGGGAACTCACCCTGGTGAGAGAGAAAAGAAGGGGTAAGGTCAAAAAATGAGGGAGGAAGTGAGGGACATTGTAATAGAGGCGAGGTCAGTTTATGCAAAAGGCGTCGTCAGTTATAACTTTTGGACGACCATTGGGCGGGAATTCCAACGTGACACCACGTGGGTCTCCTGGTCATGGCCAATCAAGCAGTTCTGACTAGATCAGGGAGAAAGAGAGGTTATTCTAGCTCTTAGTGCTTATTTTATTGTTATTTGTAGCTGGTCTTGCTCCTCCTTCTCCACTCTTTTGTTCTAAGAAGAAGGAGGCAAAGATTGCATTACAGACAGACTCAGGAGGTACTCTGAATATTAATTGTAATTAACGGTCCTTTGTTATATTAGGTGATGAGGAGAAGTCTTGCAAAGACAATCAACAGCATCAGGAAATATTTATATGGGTTCAATGTGATAATTGTCAAAAATGGAGAAAAATAGATAAAAAGTATTTTAATTATTGTTATTATTATTAATTAATCATCGTTAATTTATATGCTCTTAGTGCTACGGTTGGTGAGATGTGGTATTGTAGCATGAATCCTGATGTCTCCTTTCAGTCATGTGACCAGCCTGAGGAGGGATGCAGTTCGCCAAAGACTGGCTGGTTGTATGACGGATTTGTACCAGGTGAACTGGTCTGGGCAAAGTTGAGTGCATACCCACCGTGAGTTAGCTAATATTAGCTTCATTAGGGGCTTAGAGCTGGAACAAATTGTGCAACTATTGAATACTTGTTTCATATTCCAAGTAGCCTCTCAAAAAAAGGAAGTATTTTTTATAATAAAATGTATGAAATGAATGCATTTGAATATTATGTGTATTCAAATATTTGAAAATACTATTTGTTTCACTTATATTTAGTATGCTATTATTGTAAGAATTTCTTCTAATCCTTTATTTAGTTGGCCATCAATCATTACTCGTGATCCTTGGTGCTCAAACACTTACGTTTCAGAAGAAGATGTTGGTCTCCTTTATCATGTTGAGTTCTTAGGTAGGACTAGATCTCACTGTTGGCTTCCACAAGAAATGGTAGACCATGCACTGAAAAACCTCAAATGATTATATTTTTAAGGTTGTGCCATATGAAGAAAATTGTATCATTGGTGGTAGTAAAACATGTCCACGACATAATTTCAGACATGATAAGAGGATCCAGTATGCGATTAGTGAAGCTGATACTATGACAAGTTTATCCAATGAAGAAAGACTTGGAACTTGTCAGTACACAATTGCACAGAAGGAGAAATTGGACAAGTCAAACTGTATGTGTTGTAGGCTACTCTAGAAACATACATATTGAGTAATACACGTAATGTATGCTTTGTTTTTAGGTAAAGCCAGGAAGCAAACAGAAAAGTTAAATACGAAATCACAGCTGTCACAAAAAGGAAAGAATAAAGGTCATCCACCTTCACAACAGTCCTCATCTTCTGGTCTTGCCCCTTTGTCTCAAGTCCTAGATTTATTGAAAGTTCAGCCTTTACTAAGCAGCTTTCTTCTTCAAAGCATTGCTACCGATCCATCAAAGATTAAGAAGCAACTTAAAATTGACACTGCACCTCAGGTACTAAAGAGCGATGCAAAAGGCACAAATGCTAAGACGAGTAATGCATCAACTCAATTGATTACTAAAGATGCAGCAATGGTAAACGCTAGAGTTAAATGTAATGCTAGCAAACAGCCATTACAGCCATCCTCTGCTGTTGCTTTAACCTCATCAAGGAATGTGGTATCCACTAAGACTCGTATTACTAGACCTAGAAAAAAGAAGAAGGAGGTTTCTACATCCACCTCAATACTTCAGTATTTTGAACCTCAGACGCAGTCAAAGTGTCTAACCCAGACACCAGGTATCAATAAAAATAATATGATGCTTTGATATAGAACTAACGAATTTGTAGAATATGCGAAAAAATATGAAGATGATAATAATGTTGCCCTAGGATTGCAGAATGTGCCTTCTTTAAACAAAAATGCTACAGCTCCTGTATGTAATAAAGGTGTGCATTTATTTTTTGTAATTTTTAATGAAAATAATGACTTCAAAATAGAATTGGTTCCTCCTTTTTTCTCTCCCCCTCTCTTTTCTTCACCTGAAACTAATCAAATACCTGTCATTGATTCAGCAGGAGATCAAACTGTCCCAGAGTGTATCTGTAAGTCAATAAGCTCATGTACTATCTGTACACTAAAGGCTCAGGCTGGTTTACATTTTCCATAAAATTCAATGCAGAATCAAAATTTGGTCAATTATTTTGTGTCAACTTTGAAAGCGAAACGTTATTGCAAAATGTCAAATTGTCCATGCACTTCTGACCATTACATCAACTGTGAACCAGTCTTAAAAGTATAAGCTATTGCATTACTAAATTCATCATGCTTATATATATGTACATGTACATGTAGTTTCTAATAGTTACAAGAGCCGGTACAATAATGATATTAGATACTCTTGCTGGTATAGGCTTACAGGATTTACAGGAAGATGCAGAGCGTAATTTGCTTGCGATTGAGCAGATGATGTCTCAATTTGATGGATCTAACAAGTAGATTCTGTGGAAAATTCTTGATTATAGCTCTCATGTGTTGTTACTTATAGCTTGTCAAACTCTGAAGATATTGTTGATTATGAAAAGCTAGCAATGGAGGAAATGATACAGATTGAAGGTTATATATTTCTAAGCTTTTTCTTTATAACTAATTCATTTTTTATTAACAGAATTAATGTCCCAATTTCCAAATCCATAAACACCTAATTCATCAAATTAATAATAATTGTATTCATGACATATAATTAATTATTTATGAGCTTAAAATTTAATTATCAATCTAATAATGAACCTCAATGATGGCGACCAAGAGTGTCATTTGCAAGAAAAACAGCATTTACACGACGTTCTTACCTTCAGAAGCTCCTCCTGCGGCATTTTTAGTTACCTCTCCAACCCCTACAAGTGGCCCTACCGCTACATGATCCTATTCCTCATCTGTTTTATACGCTTTGGCTGTAACTACCTGTACGATATTCCTGGGAGCCTCGAGGGAGTCATCATTGAAGTAATGAACCTGGATACTACCAGTTACAACCTCATATACTCCGTCTACTCTTGGTCTGTAGTTGTAGCCGCTTGTGTTGGCGGGTTTATCGTGGATAAATTCCTTGGCCTAAGACTAGGCCTCCTTATATTTATTGTAGCCACAAACGTTGGTCAAGGGATAATAGTCCTTGGACTCACGACCAATACCTATTGGTTGTTGCTACTCGGTCGTCTCTTTATGGGCCTAGGTGGAGAGGTTACTCTGTTTGTCTGTGATGCTCTCACTTCCCTTTGGTTTGGAGGTGGACGTGAGCTCAGCTTTGTGTTTGCTATCATTGCCATGTCTAATCGTTTGGGCGGTGCTTCTTCCCTGTATGCCAATGAGCCACTGTACAATTCCCTTAGATCAGTTGGTGACAATACTCATCGTCTTGGCTATGTCTTCCTAATTGATATGTCTCTCTCTCTTCTTGGTATAATCTTTGGCGGTGTTATCTTCCTAATGGACAAGAGAGCAGAGAGATGCATCATTGAAAGACAACTAACAAACAAAAAGAAGAGATCCTTTTCCTTGAAAGACTTGAAATCCTTCCATCTCAACTACTGGCTAATTGCATTCACTTGTGCATTTTATTATTCTGCCTACTATCCACTTGTTACTATCGGGCAGCTCTTTTATAGTAACAAGTTTGGTTTGAGCACTAACGAGGCAAACATTGCCAACATGCTGATTTACTTGGTTACCATTATTGGCCCTTTGATAGGATTAGTCGTTGGTTTTGTCGGTTTTCCTTTGCTCTGGGGTCTTGTTGGCAACACGCTAGCTATAACAATGCATGGGATTTTAGCTCTTTCTGGCGGTTATTCTTACTTTCCATTCCTCATTTCCCCTTTTCTTGCCATAGCATATGTCTTGTTCCACACAACCGTGTATCCCTCAGTTTCTTTAGTTGTAGATCATGACAAATTGGCAACTGCCTTTGGTCTAATGATTTCATTGTTAAACTTGGGATACTCCATTGTCGATATCATAATTGCATACATCATTGACAACAGAGGTTATTTTCTGATGGAAGCCTTCTTTATTGCTTCCCAAGGAGTAGGCATATGTCTTTTGGTGATACTAATAATTCGCGTGGCACTCAGTGGAAAGAGCAAATTATTAATGTCTGGCTGTGAAGCAAGGCATTTAGAAAAGGAGGCAAAAGAAATGTAGAATTTTTATGGAATTTTTTTGTGTTGTGTACATTTTGATAATTGTGTTTAGTTTATAATTATTTTTGACATCGTGATAATTATTATTATAACCAATCTATGATAAAAAACATTAAGTACAAAATTCTATGAAACATGTAGGCAGCAGACATAAGGCTTCTGCATAGTACTATTGTATATTACTATCATGTGAACCAAAATATAAATATTTAATATACTTTTGAGGCTTCTTGCTGTGGAGCCTGATTGAATAATGGCTCACTGCTTGTTTCATCATTTTCACAAGTTAGCCAAGGTCCAGGGACATTTAATTTTGGCTTTTCTGAAACTGTGATGTCAATTAAAAAGACCAGGAATAGTGCAATGGACCCAAAGCTTGTCAATGCGACATAACATGCCTGTAATGTGAAGTAGCCACAATCATCAACAATCATACCAGTAACAAACATCATTATAGCCAATGAAGTATTAAAGCTTCCCTGTGAGATTCCATACACAGTAGTAATGTATTCTTTATCAATGATCATGGCTAACAATGCAGGATATGATGGTCCTGTCATGGTGTATGACAAAGAGTTCAAAATCCCTGTTACGTATGGAATAAAACTCTGCCCATAGCTAAACATGAAGATTAAATATGCTAGGACAGAAGGTACAATAGAGAATAATAGCCAATAAATGAAATAACCTGTTTTACTGACAAGAATACCCACTATAGGTATGAGTATGACTGTAGCACCAAACTGTAAACTATTGGCTGTATTGGCAGCTCCTATAGAAAGTCCATACTTCTTGATGTAAAAATCCTGAGCAATACTGACAAATGCATACAAAATGGGAAGGGCGGTCAAATTGTACAAAAGGATCAGCCAGAGCGAAAATGAAAACTGCTTCAGACTCTTTAATGTTATAGATCGGGAACCACTACATGGTCTTTCCTTTGTTTTCTTTGATGTTGTTTCTCTCCTGTAGTCCATAATCACAACAATTATGCTGAATGACACTCCAACTAAGATGCACCCAGCAGCTGTGATGAAGAGAGTAGCACTCAGTCTGACAGTGCGTGAAACAAATGTTGTGGTAAGACTTTCGTATATCATTTGAGGGAAGATTAGAGCTAGTGTTCCTCCAATTCTGCCAAATGCTATATCAATGGAAAAGGCGATTGGCAAGTCTTCCTTGAACCAAAGAGCTTTGTATGCATGACATATAACAACTGTTAATTCATTACCAGCTCCAATGAAGAACCTACCAACCAGCATAATAAAGTAGTTATCAATAAGTCCTCCTACTCCCCATATAGTTTGACCCACTAGTACAGAAGTGACAAAAACGAGCAGTCCTAGCCTCAGTCCTACTAACTTATCAATAATTATTCCACCAATCAAACAAAGGAATACATTAGGCCAGGCAGAGACAGAGAAGAGTAAATCATATTCTGCAGTAGTGACTCCCATCACTTTAATAATAGTGTCCTCTAGTCCACTAGGCATTTCAAGACAATAGTTTGACATCAGACGAATGGAAGAAATGAAAAAGAGAAAAATATATCTGTAGCTCCAGTGGTGGCACCAGCTGGATGATTCACCATCTCCTTCCATTTCTTTGTTATTTTCACTTGCTTTGTTATTGTTATAATACAATAGTAGTAATAGTAATATCCTTTGTATCAAAAGTGTATGCCAACAGAGCTAGGTATAGTAGCTATATTGTCTATAGTAACATTAAAATAGTATTACATACTAGTCTAGGGTTAGGCACATTATGCTTCAATTTCTGTCTATTTTATAAATTCCATCTTAAAATGAATCCGATTATGCTTATTATTATGCTCATGTTTTAAGCTATACTCAAATGTCAACTATCAAGTTACATGTATATGCATCTGTTATAAATGTAATAAAAATAATATTGGAATAATGCCAGAATTTAAAATTTTTTCCAATGACTTTGAATCACTGAAAAATAGAATAGTTTAAGTCATTGGACTTGCCAATAGGTGGGTACTAAGCTGTAGTTTGGTTGTACTAGCACTTGTATCATCTGCCATATTGAATTGAAGTCATGGAGCTAGAAATTTTTGACTCACTATGTTCCAGTTATGCCAGCATAATAACTTGCCCTATTATGCTCTAAATCATGCTAGCACAATTTGCTTGCATTATTGCTCTTTAATTTATCTTGAGAAAAGGCTTAATTTACAAAGGAGAATGAGCAATCTATCATAATGTGAACTATAATAATTGTTTGTAAATATGTATGCGTGTTTCTGTTTATGGTACTACTATTATTCTAACCAAAACATATTATAATATTTAATGTACTTTTGAGTCTTTTTGTTGTGCAGCTTGCTTAGGTAACAACTTATTATTTGTTTTGTCATTTTTACAAGTTAGCCAAGGTCCAGGAAAATTTAATTTCAGCTTCTCTGAAACTGTCATGTCAATTAAAAGCACCAGAACCAGTGCAATGGACCCAAAACTTGTCAATACAAGATAAAATGCTTGTAATATGAAGTAGCCATAGTCATCAACGATCAGCCCGGTAACAAACATCAGAATAGCTAATGAAGCATTGAAGCTAAGTCCCCTGGAGATTCCATACGCAGTAGTAATGTATTCCTTATCAATGATCATGGCCAATAATGCAGGATATGGTGGTCCTGTCATAGTGTATACCAAAGAATTCAAAATCCCTGTTATGTATGGAATAAAACTCTGCCCGTAGCTAAACATGAAGATTAAATATGCTGTGACAGAAGGCACAATAGCAATCAATAGCCAATAAATGAAATAACCTGTTTTACTGACAACAATGCCCACTATAGGTGTGAATAGGACTGTAGCACCAAACTGTAAACTATTGGCTATATTGGCAGCTCCTATAGAAAGTCCATACTTCTCGATGTAAAAATCCTGAGCAACACTGACAAATGCATACAAAATGGGAACAGAGGTGAAATTGTACATAAGAATCAGCCAGTAAGAAATTGAAAACTGCTTCAGGCCCTTCAATGTTATAGATCGGGAACGCTTTTCTTGTATTTTCTTGGACTTTACTTTTCTCTTGTAGTCCATAATCACAACAATTATGCTGAATGACACTCCAACTAAGACGTATGCAGCAGCTGTGATGAATAGAGTAGCACTCAGTTTGACAGTCCGTGAAACAAATGTTGTGGTAAGACTATCATATATTATTTGAGGGAAGATTAGAGCTATTGCTCCTCCAATTCTACCAAATGCTATATCAATGGAAAAGGCAAGTGGCAAGTCTTCCTTGAACCAAAGAGCTTTGTATGCATGACATATAACAACTGTTAATTCATTACCAGCTCCAATGAAGAACCTACCAACCAGCATAATAAAGTAGTTGTCAATAAGTCCTCCTACTCCCCATATAGTTTGACCCACTAGTACAGAAGTGACAAAAACGAGCAGTCCTAGTCTCAGTCCCACTAACTTATCAATAATTATTCCACCAATCAAACAAAGGACTATGCTAGGCCAGGCAGAGACAGAGAAGAGTAAATCATATTCTGCAGTAGTGACTCCCATCACTTTAATAATAGTGTCCTCTAGTCCACTAGGCATTTCAAGACAATAGTTTGACATCAGACGAATGGAAGAAAGGAAAAAGAGAAAAACATATCTGTAGCTCCAGTGGTGGCACCAGCTGGATAATTCATCTCCTTCCATTTCTTTGTTACTTTGCTACTGTTACAGTTAATAGTCATACCGGTAGTATAGTAATTATAGTAATATCTCTGTGTGTATCAAAGTGTATGCCAAAAAAGCTATAGTAACATAAAAAATTGTACTGAATAACACATAATTATTGTAATTATTATTCATGACCTAATTTTTAAAAGACAATTTAAGACTTGCGTGATCAGTTTTGGATGCCTTGAGCTACTGTCTACAATGATTACTAGCAATACCAAAACAATGCACCCTGTTACTATGAGGAAATACGAACTCTCCAAAATGAAGTATCCATAATTATCAACAACGAGTCCTGTCAAGTATATCATCAATGCCAATGAAGCATTGAAGCTAAATGAAATCATTCCATATGCTGTAGTAATGTAGTCCTCCTTGATCAAAAGAGCCGGTAAAGCCATGTAGGATGGTGCCCAAAATGAATAAGCAATTGAGTACAGTGAAACTGCTAGAAATGGAACAATGTAGTCTCTATTTCTGAGCAGTAGTATAATTGCATGAACTGAGAGGCCAAGTAATGCAGAGCCAAGCATCCATATCAAGTTAGTGCTGGATTTACTGATGAGTAGGCCAGCAACTGGTGCCAATATTATGACTAAGCCAAAGTTGAGACTGTTAACAATGTTTGCTAGTTGAATGGTAAAACCATACTTTTGAACAAAAAAGAGCTGGCCAATGGTCACGAATGAATGTATGACAGGTATAAACGTGGTATTGATAAGTACCACTAGCCAAAACAAAAAGGAGAATTGTTTTATGTCATCTATTTTTATGGATTTTAAACCATCTTGCCTTCCTTGTCCCTTTGATTTCTTTTCTCTTTCATAGTCCATGAAAATGACAATAAGACTAAAGAGTAATCCCAACAGCATTGCTCCAGCAGCAGTGAGTAAGGAAACACCAAGTCTCACATTAGGACTATCAAAAGCTGAGTTTAAATTATCATATATTAACTGTGGGATGAGTATAGCCATTGTTCCTCCTATTCTGCTGTAGGCAATATCTATTGATATAGCAAGTGGCAGTTTTTCTTTAAACCAGATAGCTTTAAAAGCATTAGCAACAATAATTGTTAAGTCATTACCAGCTCCAATGAAGAACCTACCAACCAGCATAACAAAGTAGTTATCAATAAATCCTCCTACTCCCCATATAGTTTGACCCACTAGTACAGAACTGACAACAATGAGCAGTCCCAGTCTCAGTCCCACTAACTTATCAATAATTATTCCACCAACCAAACAAAGGACAATGCCAGGCCAGGCAGTGGCAGAGAAGAGTAAATCATATTCTGCAGTAGTGACTCCCATCACTTTAATAATAGTGTCCTCTAGCCCACTGGGCATTTCAAGACAATAGTTTGATATAAGACGAAGGGAAGAAAGAAAGGAAAGAAAAATCCACTTGTACAGCCAGTGGTGGCTTTCTTGATTGCTGGACATCCTCTTTATTGATACTGAGAATGATCAAACTATTATTACTTATATGAGTACAATGTAAAATTGTTGACATTCTACCTTGCCAACTTTACTAGAATAGAGTAGTTTCTATCTAAGGCTAGATCAATACTTGGCAATCTTTTTGATATTAAACTAGGCTAGGCCTAGGGGAAAGTAAATTATAAGGAGCTGTGGAGCTGTGCATGTAGACAGTTGAGCTATAAAATACAGAAATACACTTAAAATTTCATCAAAAATAATGTATTACATTATTTTTGATGAAGTTTTCTGCAGAAGAGCCACACCTTTCTTTCCAGTCAGCCAGTCACGTGACCACTATAATCATCACTGCACATTTGGCGCAGTTTGGCTGGGTTTGGCGGGTACTCGAGGTCCCAGTGCTACTGTGACCATGACCGACTCAAGAGGAATCATGGCTAAACTGAGAAGCCATTTAGCTTGTCTCGTCGACCCAGCAACATGTAAGCTCAATTGTCCCATTTTCTTATTTTTATGATTTTTATTATGTTTTATTTTTGTGCTTATATATAATTTATTTCGTTTTTCCTCTCTCAAATCAGCTGATGATACTAAGCTCAAGGGTGCTCAAGACGTCAGTGAAAATCTAGAGGTAACTCTGGAGATTCATAATTTTCACCCTTATTCTAATTAACGCCCATCTTATTAATATTTTAGAATTTTGTAAATTCACCACATTACAGCAGTTTCCTTGAGACTGCCATACCGATATTCCTCCAATTACTCAAAGATGGTGAGGGAAAAAATGACGAACTCTTTATTATATCAATAATAATGATTAAATATGTAATTTGCTAATTAATGTTATTGTAGGCGAGCCACAGTTCTTGACTGATAGTTCAGCACAGGTTTGATAAATATATATTTACATTGATATAATTCTTACTTTGTTGTTGTCATTATTTTTATTTAGCAATTAAGGAAGTTGGTTTTGGAGCTGATACACAGACTACCAGCCAACGACAATTTAAAAGGACACGTCAAGGTACTTGTACCTTTTTCTTGCTCCTGCTTACTGTCATTAAATATTGTTATAGGCTTTGCTTTCTACAATGTTTTCACTGCTAGAGGTACTGGGATGCATGATGCATCTAGTTAAGTAGTTGTTCATGTGACTTGTAGGTAGAGAATGAAGAGAACGTCCTCATTTGTCTTAAAGTTATAATAGAATTACATAAACAATTCCGTCCGTCATACTCACCAGAAGTGAGTCAGTTTTTAGGATGAATTGATGTTCTTTATATTCTCCACCTCTCTTTTCTATCTTTTCTATGATCCTTTCCTCTGTAGATCACTAAATTCTTACAATTTGTAAAACTTATTTATACAGACCTTCCTAAAACAATGGTATTAATCTCATTCCTAGTGTGGCAATGTTTAACCCATTCCCCCTCTTTCCCTCCAGAGTTCAGCATTAGAGACACAGGAGCCAGAGGGTATGGAGGTCTCCAGTACTAGTAGTACTGTCACTCCAGCAGCTGCAGCTCCTGGAGGAGGAGCAAGTGAAGCTAGTAAGAATCCCGTGAGTTTCTCTTCATTATTTTACTGTAATAATATGTACCTTTGTGAATTTGTAATTGATTTTTTCTAATTTTAGTCCGTGTTGCCTAAAGCGTCATCTTCCTTGAAAGTCCTTGCTGAGTTACCAATTATTGTTGTACTTATGTATCAGGTTAGCGAATGTCATTTCTCTTCTTATATCTGTCTTCTTTCTCTCTCAGTTATACAAGCAGTCAGTCCATCAGTGGGTTGCTGACCTAATTCCACTCACTATTAAAACAATTACGCTACAGCCTTCTGATAAAGCCAGGTACATGTATATTGATGTCACATGACTCCATACTTTAATACAACTCTAAAGGTTGTCAGCTGGTTTTAATAAGGAGGTTTATGTCGATTTTGTAGCCGTTCAAATTAAATTTTTATCCTTTCTTGCGTACATAATCAGAATTTACCAGGTAGGGTATGGAAGAAGTTACATGTATTCTACAGAAAGCCTTTCCTCCATTTTGTCCCCCCTCTCTTTTAGGATGTTGTGAATCAGTTTGCTCCCAATATGGTACAGGGGATGTTAGCTCTCTTGAAAAATTGTCCTCAAGAAGTTGCTCATTTGCGTAGAGAACTACTCATAGCAGCTCGTCACGTCTTGGCAACTGACTTACGAACTAGTGCGTTTCAGTAAATCTCTGTATATTCTAGTATATCTGCACCCTTGGATGATATAGTGCATGCACATTATTGTTATACCCCTGTATAACTCAGTATATTTTTGTGTATATTTGCATACCATTGTATATGCTTGTGTTTTTAGAGTTTGTTCCTTGCATTGATCAGTTATTTGATGAGAGTCTTCTTGTTGGTACTGGTTGGACTACAAGAGATACTGTCAGGTCCCTGGCCTATAGTATACTGGCTGATTTGGTTCATCACATTCGGTCCAATTTGTCTCTACCTCAGCTTTCCTCTGCCGTTCACTTGTTCTCTAAAAATGTTCATGATGACACTTTTCCTGTTAGCATTCAGACCATGTCTTGCAAGGTAATGTAATTGAATTTTGAGCTGAAGATCATGTACTATAGCCCATGGTTTTTTTTTTCGAAAAAATGGCTCCAAAATCACCCCCAATTTTTATTACATTTTCTGATACATATTGATGTCCTTAAGCTATGTATAGTAGAAAGTTTGAGCCAATTCCGACTTCAATTTTTTGAGTTATGGCCATTTTTTAAAATTGGCCAATTTCTGAAAAATACCCTGTACTATAGCCCATGGTTTTTTCCGAAAAATGGGTCCAAAATCACCCCCAATTTTTATTACATTTTCTGATACATATTGATGTCCTTATGCTATGTAGAAAGTTTGAGCCAATTCCGACTTTAATTTTTTGAGTTATGGCCATTTTAAAAAATGGGCCAATTTCTGAAAAATTATTTTTTGAAAAATGGCTCTGGAATCATTCCCAATTTTTATTACATAATTTATTCTGATATATATTGATATTATATGGGTTTATTTTGCCTTCTTCACTTCACTTCATTCCAGTTGTTGTTGAATCTTGTCGAGTGTATACGTCAGATCAGTGATCAGGACTTGAGTGGGCGTGACGTCCTTATGAGAATGATGGAAGTGTTTGTACTAAAGTTTCAATCAATAGCTCAGTATCAGATCCCTGATGTACTGGAGAAATGGTGAGTCTCATAAAAGTAATGAACAACGAATTTTTTGTATTTTTGTATAAAAAAGGCATTTTATTCGTTTCTCTTGTTTTTATGTACTGCAGTCATCCACAGAGCGAAATGGCTGCTCTAGCTCAAGAAATGGCTACCAACGGATCCCATTTGAATGGACCTGAACAAGCAAGACGATCCTCTAACACACTCTCAGTTGGATCTTCCCTACCATTTGCAACCCCATCCAGTAAGTATTCCTGTACATGTACATACATGTACATTGTGTTACCGTATAGCGTAAAATTTTTGAGGGCTGTAGATTTTGCGATTTTTTTGAAGATTCACGAAAATTACTTCCGTGAAAATTAAATTATTAGGGCACAAGATGGCAAACGGTATGCATGTAAAGTCACGAAAATTAAATTCGTGAAATAGATTTTTACGAAATTTACAGCCCTAGAATTTTTAGTGCTATACGGTATCAAATAGAGAAGAGGGAGGATGAGGTACATGTACATGTACAGTGCATCAATCAAACATGGTCTCATTGTTTTTTATTTATTATGATATAGATGGCAGTTCTCATTTGATGGGATTCTCCCTACCCGACTGCAGGGCTATTGTAAAGACCTTGGTCTGTGGTATGAAGACCATCACTTGGGGAGCAGGCTCGTGTAGACTCCCTGGATCTGCTGTTGATTACGGTAAGGAAGAGGAACGAAGGAAAGAATGTGAATCTTATTTGCATCATTTATTTCTTATACAAAATGCATCATTTCATGCTAACTGGCTATGATACGAATACACATCAATGTACATGGTTTGCATGCCAAATGGTATATTATGATACTAATGATTAGTATCATAATACTGTACCATTTGGCATTAGTATCATATACCATTTGGCATGCAAACCTGTGTATTCATATCATAGCCAATTAGCATGAAATTTATAATTAATGTCTTCTAGGCAACATGTACCCACACCCATAGACACGCATCTTTGTGGCTTTAAGCAGAAATCCAAAATTATAAACCAATTGTGCATTTGTAGTACACACAGTACTGCAGTTGTACGTGTACATACATGTATGCAATACACACGTGTTGGGTCAACAAGAGATTATGAACCAGTTATTGAGTTTCATGTTGACCAATGTACATGTATATTACATCATATTGCATGTACATGTATGTATGACTTAATTTATAGTCCATATATTAATCTCCTTCTTTATTCCTTTTTTTAGCTTCTCAGCCACAGAAGACGTTCCAGTCACACGAGACTGAGGTATTCCTTAGGTTGCTCAAGTACGGATTGATGGCCTTGGATATCTATCGTGTGACAATGCTACCCAACGGAGTGTTGGTCCTTAGGAACTCAAAGTAATGAGGCCTTCACTAATAATGAGGAAATGACTATTGTAGTGGCATTTGTGTATTATTATTATTATTATTATTATTATTATTATTATTATTTGTTATTATTATTATTAATTGTTTTTTAGTTGTCAAACTGTAAAGACGAAAGAGGAGAAAGAAGTCTTGGAACATTTCGCTGGAATCGTAAATTGATTTTTGATATTATTAAATTTCTAATAGTTTCTACAGTACACCATGCTTGCCACTCCTATATTTAAAGAAATATTCAGTGAGGTGATAGAGTATTTGGTTGAGAGAGTACAAAACAATTACGCACTCCAGGTTAGACCTTATTCTAATTGTACAGGTACATGTCTTCTCTCTCTGTCTCTCCTCTAGATTATTCCTAATTCCTTCCTTGCTAATGCAACCACATCAGCTACGTTTGCTGGCATATTATTAGATTTCTTATTAAAAAGGATGGAAGACCTTGGAGGTACTAATTTAGTTACTATCACAATATTGATGTATTGCCTGTCTTTTTCCTCTATTCCTTTACTCACCTCTTAAGCTAATAATGACAAATCAAATTTGTATCTGAAGATGTTTAAGCTTGTATTTGGTTCTGTTACTCTCTTTGCCCAAGAGAATGAACTGATGCTAAAAGTTAGTTTCATAATATATGTAGCTATCACACCTAACCCTTCTCTTTGTCTTTAGCCTCATCTTCATGAAATAGTCAATCGGTCGATGAGTTTGGCCAATACTTGCAAGGAACCTTGTAACTATTTCCTTCTCCTCAGAGCTTTATTCCGCTCTATCGGAGGCGGCAGCCACGAACTCTTGTATCAAGAATTCCTACCTTTACTATCAAATCTATTGCAAGGTTGGTACCGTTAGATCTGTGGGTGTGGTCATTGATGGGTGTGGTTTGGTAGGTCTCAATCGATTGCAGAGTGCTCAGCATCGTCAGTATATGAAAGACTTGTTTGTTGAGCTGTGTTTGACAGTTCCAGTGAGGCTCAGGTATTAAATTAATGCATCCTGTTTACGTACATGTTCTCTGTGTATATAAAGATGTTTATAAAGGAATCAGGAATGTACATGTACAATGTACATTACATTCATGTGTGCTTTGATGTTCAAATTGGGGGATTTGTCTCAATTCATGTTATGCTATTGCTATAATAAATAAACAATTTCTTCATGTGCCCGTACTCTTATTTGAATTGGCTCTGTAAGGATAAATAAGTGACTAGAGAAACATTACTAATGACAAAAATATTATTATAAAGTTTGGATGTGTCAGTAGCTTGTTTGTGTTGATTGTTCCAATATCGTAAGATAAGATTATATTTTCACGAGCAATATGACTAGCGGACTATATAGATTGAGTGTGGCAAATAGATTAAGTGCAATGTTGTCGCGTTCCTTTTAGTTTTTAATCAAGTCTTTTTAGTCTGAATGAGCCTTTGCTTCTCTCTTTGGTAACCTCTCCTCTCTCGTTATTTGTCTCTAGCAAATTATCTTTGTCCTTGCTCCCTCCCTCCTCCTCTCTCTCCTCCTCCTCTTTCTCTTTCATACACTTTGACCAAGATGAGGGGAAATTAATCCTCGTCTTAACTGACGCAGTATCAATGATGATCATGAGTAGCACAAAGACAACACAAAGGAGTACCAGTAGAGTATAGACTCCTTCCAGTATAAAGTATCCTATATTGTCCACTATCAAGCCAGTCACATATATCATGATGGCTACTATCAAGTTGTAACCTGTCTTATAGATTCCATACGCTGTTGCCAGGTACTCTCTATCAATGAGTAATGCGGGTATGGATATCAGTATGGGACCCAGTGCTGAGAAAGAGATGGAGTATAGTATGCCTCCTAAGAATGGAATATACGTCTGCATGCCACCAAACATCAGCATGGTATGTACTATTAGTGCTGTCAGTATGCTTCCTAGCATCCAGTATAGTCTGAAGCCAATTTGGTTGATGGTTACTCCAATTGCTATTGTTACCACTGTGGCACTGCCAAATACCAGGAAATTTGCTAAACTTGCCAGCTCAAGGGAAATCTTGTACTTTTGCACAAAGAATACCTGCCCAATGCTAACAAAGGAGAATAATATGGGGAAGTAAGTGATGTTTATGGCCACTCCTAGCCAGTAGAGGATACCAAATTGCTTGATGCCTTTGAGGCTGATTGCTTTAAAGCTTCCTGACTTGTTTTTCTGCACGACTTCTGCAGATTTTTTTTCTCTGTTGTAGTCCATGATGACTGCTGCAATGCTGAATAGCACTGCAATGATCATTCCACCAGAAGCAGTGAATAATGTGAAACTCAGTCTATGTTGGGGCTTGTTGAAAATGTTTTCCATGTTATTGTATATCAGTTGAGGGAGAATGAGGGCAAGCCCACCTCCTAGTCTTCCTAGACTCGCATCTACAGATATTGCAAGTTGTAGGTCCTTTTTGAACCAGAGAGCTTTAAAAGCATGATCAATGATAACGGTCAAGTCATTACCAGCTCCAATGAAGAACCTACCAACCAGCATAACAAAGTAGTTATCAATAAGTCCTCCTACTCCCCATATAGTTTGACCCACTAGTACAGAACTGACAACAATGAGCAGTCCTAGTCTCAGTCCCACTAACTTATCAATAATTATTCCACCAATCAAACAAAGGACTATGCTAGGCCAGGCAGAGACAGAGAAGAGTAAATCATATTCTGCAGTAGTGACTCCCATCACTTTAATAATAGTGTCCTCTAGCCCACTGGGGAGCTCCACACAGTAATTTGAAGCAAACCTTATGGAGGATATCAAGAATAGGAAGAGATACTTGTAGCTCCAGTGCTGGCACCAGGAAGAGCTCTCATCATACCTTAGACTCATATTCTTAAACTGTCTCTGGATGGCAGCAAACAGAGGAGCTGTGAACTGACAGTTTAACCTGATGATGAACTGAGAGCATCAACAGATTTTGTTATTTCCTTTCTTATAGCTAAGAAGCTGATTTTCTTTAATTAATTAAATATTCATAGCTCATCTGCTTGTTATTTATTAGTTTTGGAATTTTATTTAGTGCAACTGATCTCCCTGTGCGGCCTCTCCCTCCCTCCCTTTCTCTGGCTTCTTTTAATTTGTTATGCACATTCCAAGAAAAAAATATAAACACTGACATTTCCTGAGGCATAGCATGCAGTACGCCTACACTCATTAAAAGTAAACTCCATGTGTACAGAATGGCATCAAAATGTGTCTAAATAATACTTTAATGTAGAATATGTACTACTACAATTGTATTATTATATGAGGCATAGCTTGTGGTACGCCTACACTTGATAAAAGTAAATTCCAGGTGTACAGAATAGTATCAGAATGTGTCTAAGTAATACTGTAATGTAAAGTATGTACTACACATAAGCAGTTGTATTATTATTGTATCGTGTTCTCTTTTGTGTTTAGTTCTCTCTTGCCTTACCTCCACCTGCTAATGGATCCGCTGGTATCAGCACTCAATGGATCGCAGACCCTCATCAGTCAAGGACTCCGTACACTTGAGCTCTGCGTTGATAACCTCCAACCTGATTTCTTATACGAGCACATACAACCTGTTAGGGCACAACTAATGCAAGTGAGTCGTCCAATGGCTACGCCTTATTATACCTTGTGTGTCTTATTATTATGTTGTGAGCCTTATTTATGTTGTGTTTCTTTTGAAGGCTTTGTGGCAGACACTCCATAATCCTGACGAGAATATTGCTCAAGTTGCATTCAGAGTTTTGGGAAAATTTGGCGGCAGCAACAGGAAAATGCTCACATCACCACAACAGGTAAACACAGCAGCTGCTCTGCTAACATGACATGGCATGCCGTGTATGTGTAGATTTAGATGTAGATAGTGTCATTGTAGTATTGTTATTTTAATTATTTTATTAATTTTATTATAGTTGGAGTATAATGAGAACCTTATTGATGGTCCGGCTATATTGATATCATTCCCTGATGCTGAGACTCCTGTTGAAATACCTGTAGCTAAAGTGAGTGTATAGACACACAATGTGCATCATTTATGAATCTGAGGGTATTTACAGGCAGTGGAAGTGGCAGTTAAACTATTGAAGCCTCACAGCACTGACCCGTTCTATAGACAGCAAGCATGGATCCTATTACAAGTTTGGACTGTCTCTATATAATGGATAATATGAGTTGTATTTATTATTATAGAGTTATCTGATCAGTGTTCTCAATCTCTCTGATGCTGACAAGGATCTGTATCAGTTATTGAATCAGGTCCATTATCAGCCGATGGAGTTTAATGCTAACAGACTCAAGCATATTTCTCTCCCTCAGTGTACCAACAAGATAGCAAGGAATGCTTTTGAGACGGCTCTTAAAGGAGTGTTCAGTAAGATTATTGCGGCATTAGCTTATGCATTTGTGCTTATTTATCTAGTTGCGTCTTGTCTACGTGATTTGAGGAACGAAGCTGTTGTCTTTCTTGCTGGTATTGTTAGGCAGATAATATCAGTAGCAGTCGTCCAGCAATGCTGTGAGTAATTTCTTACATCTCTTATGTATGCATTTTTATTTTGTTTTTTTTTTTTCATTACAGCATCATCAAGTTTTCTCAAGTCCCTGTAAGACCCAGCGAATGTGTCCTTTGTTTAATTGTATATATTTCATCTGCAGGACTCCAGATACGATGGATGTGTATGTTTTACTGGAAGCAATTGCTAAATGTGTTGCCAGTGAAGAGAAGGAGCTCTATCGTATAGCTGAGCTGGCACTCACCTTTGTTGTAGACACAGCTGCAACTATTATAGGCGATAGAGAGAAGGCAACTGAGCTCCCTTTGTTTGAGGTGGCTGTGGAGAAGTTGTGTGGTTGCTGCTATGAGAGAGCTTGGTATGCGAAAAGCGGAGGGTAAGTTTTATATGAAGTCATCATGCCTGTAACATCATTATTTTGCTTAACTATTTCAAGAATTAAAATATATGTTTTTAGTCTGGTTACATGTATCTTTTTTATAGCTGCTGGGCAATTGGTTTCTTTTTGGATAAGATGCCACTGAAATGGGTCATCAACCATCAGTTGACTTTCTTAATGGCTTTACTCTTTGTACTTCATGACCTTAGCAATGAAGTAAGTTGTATAGAAACTGTCACTATTAAATCCTTTTGTAAAGTAAAGCATGTCATTGTGTTTGTTTGCATATTTTTATTTTTTTCTTCTTTCTTTTTTCTCTAGGTTTCTTCTGGTACTGTTATTCAAGCACAAGAGCTGATTGATAAGATGTTAAAGCTCTGCAATTCTACACTATCAGAAGAGAACAAGGCAAACCTTGAGCCAGCTCAGTCAAAGTCATTCTCAGCAGTGACCAGGCACATTGTGAAAGAAATAATCACACCAAATGAAGCTGTTAGGAAACAAGTTAGTGCTAAATATTATATTTCTATAACTAATTAAATTGTATCATGATAAATATGCAACAATAAGGAAGGAAACACAATGATTCATTACTGCACACAATATTACATGTATGGAAATGTTGAAAGTATATCCTCTTCATTTGACATAAAGCTCGTAATAGCTAACAGGAACATCTTCATCTTGAGTTCCTTGATCAGCACACACCCTCAGCTCAAGGTAGTCAGTAGTGGTAGTGTTTAGCATCTTATTGAACCATGGAAGACCAGGAGCTGCACAACAAACACCTTCAAGACTACCACATCCTTTACCATCCCACAATGGATCAGATGAATAGAGTATATATTGAACAGAACCATCAGTAGAAGGATTACCAGATTCACAGAAGTAGTCATTACCAATGAAAGACTGAAGAGTTGAGTTTTGAGGACTACCTTGAGAGCAAGGACAATGGTACCGACCATCCACACTCACATGAATGAAATTATCACTTGGTCCAGCCATCAGTGTCCAGACATGTTGACGAGGAGACCCACGAGTGATACTAACACCATCAACATAATAAGAATTAATGTCATTGTAAGTTGGCCTAATAACACTACCATACGTTTCACCTGAATAGTCTCCTGGATAAACAGCATCAGGTAAAGCATACTGATATCCCACTACTCTACCACACACTTGAGAGTAGCTGATACCATTAGATGGAAACTGAACTGATGTACAAGTGCCTTCAGTTGAGTTGGTTCTACCACAAGCTCTAACTCCTCCTGACTGGTACGGTCTAAACCCAGGAGGACAGTTCTGTGTAGAGTCAGTCATATCCAGATATGCTAGTCTTGTCCATCCTCCTCCTGAACCACACAGCTCCTCCATATTACAGTAAACATTCTTTATTTCTCCTTCATATACAATATTGTAGTTCTTT